GCGATAGAAAGACTTAAATCCACTCTATTACATCTATTGTGTATTAAAACTTTGGTCATGTGTTGTTGGAGAAGTGGCAGAAGAGTCCCTCCAACACATGACCTCCTCCCTCAACTAGATGGTCTGTATTTCAGTCTACCTGGTTGGTCCTTGCCTCCAAAAGTACATCTAAAATATGAAGAGAAGAAGTACTTTTGGGCCAAAATGTAGCCAGAAGGGAGTGTTTTAAAGCAGAAAATTCAAGCTAATTTGGATCTGGAAAACATATTCTCTTGATGAACCAAACATTTTACTGCTACTTGATTGCAGAAAGGCATTTTTTTTAAAAGTAAAATTTCCAGGCTGCGATTCTCTCCAAAATACTATACTACTGTCTAAAACTACACAGGGAGCTGTTCTACATTATCTGGGAACATAGGTTTGATCTGTCCCTTTTCTGTACTCTGTCTTGGAAAATAATATTCTCTGATGCTCCCAGTCAGTGCGTGTATCAACGCTGAGGCTGTTTTCAGCTGTATAAAGATGAAAGGGATCTGAAAGTGTTGTGATGGTGATGTCATTGCCAATGGCATGCAAATACTTTTCCTGCATCATTTACACTGATTTTCGAATGGAATTTGCAAGCTTCTGTAGTGTTTTGGACAACATAAAAGTGACAACTTAAACCCAGCCCCCAAAATAAAGCAAAATTATAGGAGCATCAGTACTATGAACAGCTTAAAAATAATGAAAAACTATTTCCTATATCTAGTTTTGTGATATTCAAAACAATATAAAACAGAAGCAGTGGCTTAGAAAGTCTTGTCCATTGAAATCAATATATTATGATTCTGTTACTTTTAGAGCCCTTCCACACAGCCCTATATTCCAGAATATCAAGGCAGAAAATCCCATATTATCTGCTTTGAACTGGGTTGTCTGAGTCCACAATTGGATAATGTGAGATTTTCTGCCTTGATATTCTGGGATAAAGAGCTTTGTGGAAGGGCCCTTAGTTGCACTGACCTGTAGATAGTCTCCATAGATAAGGCCACCTTTGTTCGCTTTATTTAGCCCTTCTTGTGATTTGTCACCTTCTCCATCATCCAAAGATAGTTTATTAAAATTAAATCTAGGAATAAACAAATAACAATAAAATTCAATTAATACCAGTGAAACTGTTTAAACACAGACATGTTCAACCATTTTGCTGATTCTCATTTTTAATATAATTTTAAAGATTGATTCATCAGGCACACTTTTACTGTAGACAGCATTATAAAATCTGCCACATTGGTAAATATGATTTCGGGGGGGGGGGGGGGATATCATTAAAACAAATTACATCATTAATCAGAAGTAATTTTCCCCTTTTTCATTGTTAAATTAGACCATCAAGCTACTACCAATATTAATTACAGCATTACACATGATAGAATGAAATGTACTTACTGGTATTTGTTCTCCCAAAATGGACAACCACTCATGTCTCTAGAATCAAAGGACAGACTGAGTTAAAATTTCTCCAGAGGTAAAATATATTGACATTTCCTGAACTACAAGAGTAAACACTTTTTATGTAACTTGAGCCCATATGTTTTAGGCAATCCTCTTATTTTCCTGCCCATCCCTATCTACATACAGCTACGATCATGGAGAACATCCTTAAACAAAGTCCATGGAAGTATTTGTTTTGTCAGTGGATCAATTCTTCTTCTAAAGCTTTGCAGAAATACTGACAGAGGTCACAGGTCACATGTTCAGTTTTCACTTCAGACCATCCAGGACTGGCCATTTTCAATTATTTACTGAGTCCAATTGACACAACTGAAAGAAACGATATGCATGGTGATATAGATGATGCTTTTATTTTTGCATAGAAATACAAAATATCCCTAATTACAAAACCAGATCTGCCATGTTTCTTGGCAAAAGAAACTAATAAAAGGCATACAACAAAAATAGTAGCCAAGACCTTTGACTGACAAGTCTATATAATTCAGACAATGTAAAATATACTTTAAAGGCAAAGTTTAGTTCTCATCAGGGGGGGAAAAAATCAAACTTTAAAAAAATGCTGAACTTTTGCACTAATTTTCCAAACCCTAGCTGTATTTGTTGAACATCATGACTCAATTCTATTGAATCATTAACAGAGTACCTACAGAACTAAATAACACACTATGGTTTTTCACTACACCTCAATTAGGTTAAATCTTTAGTTTGACACACAGTTGTCATGCCATTATTTAATATGCATAATTATAGAGCTAGGCCTTCCTGTTTCTTAAAATGTGCAAAATATTTAACAGTAAATGTTAATTATTTTTGAAATTTCTTCATAAGTAGCTCTTTTTAGCAGCATCTTCCAGCAAACACAAATGTCATTTAGGCTTGTGAATTTTGGGTGAATCCTGATCTGTTTCTGCTTGCCAGATACTGGAAGCCCCCCAAATCTGTTTTCAGGTGCCTCCCCAAACAGCCGTCTTTCCAAAAGGGTGTTTTTGTTCTTCAGCCGAAAAACTGGCTATTTTAAGTCTATTGGCAGCAATGGGGGGGGGGGGGATTCCCCTCCCTTTCCCATCATTTTAGGCAATGGCATCATTTGTCCTTATATCATCCATTAAGACCTGGATTAAAAGCATCAGAGTTACTTAAGATGCCATTCTTCCTGCGATGCTTTCCTCTTGGTCTGCAGAGGAGCCCTGGGTTTCAATAAAGGGCTCTAGATACACAGACAGGGCTCACAAAAGCAGGAGGAGGAGCCAGTGATCGGCTTCTGCTTGCTTTCGTATCAAGCGGGCTTTCAAGCTGGGGGCCCTCTTCCCATTATCAGTTCCCAAAGGTGCTGGAGGTGCCTCAGGAATGGAAGGAAATTGTATCCACACACAACCCTAATGTCATTGTGCAATGTATAAGGTATTTCCAATGCAGTTTCCACTGATGTAGCTCATTGCAGAACCAATCATATTGGTTGTGTTGCAGACCTGGTTTCACAAATGGATTATTAGGGACCACCACAAACAAATGCAAACCCAATAAGTTTCTAGTTTTAAGTGGGGGGAATACTGGAATTCCACTAATATGCTGTCTTCCTTTGAAAATATTCCATTGGATTTAGTCCTCTGGTGTGAAATGTTTATCGGAGCTCTCTTAGTCCTTAGATTATAAATTTAAAGTGATTCAAAGACAGTTTGAAACTTAATCCATCAAGCTAATGCATGAGATTTTGGTTGCTCAACCCTGTGAAATATAAATGATAGAAGGGGGTGTTGGAATATCAGGGCTAGCACATGTTGAATCTCAGGAAAAGCCAGAAAATTGTTGATGATTTGTCATTAGAGTTGACATTTAACATTTGAGAGTTTTGCAGATTTGATTATTCATGGATTTAATTAATATAGCATTTTTTGAAATCTATAGGTCCACCAGTGCAACTCCATTGCCAATGTCCACTGGAAGTTGACCATACAGTTGTGCTGGAGAACCTAGACATTTCTCAAGAGGTATTCTCTCAGGCTGGGTCCAGTTTCAGAATGGAGATAAACTGCATTGAACTGAATTATATGGCAGAGTAGACTCATGTAATCCAGTTCAAGCTATTAATCTGCATTCTGAAACTGGTTTATATGGCAGTGTAGATCCAATCTAATTTTTAAAAAAAACATATTTATTCACATTTTTCTACTTCGTAGAGATCCTGTGTCCCTAAACTTAACAAATATGGATGGCTAACTGTATTGGTTTATCACCACCAGTGAATGGGAGAATATATTTGCAATGTCCCACCTCATGTTTCTATTTGACATGATTGACTATGGACTTTGCACAACATTTGCAGGCAGCAAAAAGTCTTGAATTAGCCCTATATAGCTTTGTATCAGCATATCAACTAATCCAATGAGGGTATCTTCTTCTGTTCTCATACTGATTCAGGATACTCAAACAAGGTCTGGAGGGATAGCCATAGGCCCCTTCCACACAGCTGAATAAAATCCCACATTATTTGCTTTAACAGGGATATATGGCACTGTGGATTCAGATAACACAGTTCAAAGCAGATATTGTGGATTATTCTGCATGGTATTCTGAGTTATATGGCTGTGTGGAAGGGCTTATAGAGCAACCATCCTTGATTTGATCCTTTTGAATTCCCAGATCTCAGAGGTGAGCCCTTCTGTTTTTGGCCATTGAGGTGAGAGAATTGCTTTGAAAAAGGTGTTGATACATATTTTTCTCATTTTTTTGGATATGTTATTTTTATGTGAATGGCATACTCTCTGCAGTTTTGGAGTATATCATGTCTAACGTTATCATTGAGGTTACATGTTGCAATAACACCTTTTTATATAGCAAGACCCAGATAGCCCTGCTCCCCTGTGACATCACAAGGAGCCATCCTTAGATCTCAGGTTTAGCAATAGTTTTGACTCAGCTAACCTTGAGATGGACTTCAATATGCCTGAGGGGTTTGGATCGGGAAAGCAGACACAGCACACAATGGAGTCTTTTCTCTCTCTTCTTTCATAGATGCAAATTTAATGTTGCCAATGTCTTTGCATGCTTTGTTATTTTTAAATATTTTGGAAACAATTTTATGTGAAACAGTGGTTTTAAAAACAGACAAAAGGAAGCCTGTTATCTTGTAGATTGCAGTATCAATACATGGTAAATTATACCCACTATTCTGCAAATTAATTGGTAACTTATTTTCTTTTTGTGTTCATAAAATCTGAGGGCCCTTACAGAAAGGCCCTATATATTAGAATCTGATCCTGCTCCGGTGGGAAGGTAATGGCGCTCCATGCAGTCATGCTGGTCACATGACCTTGGAGGCGTCTACTGACAACGCCAGCTCTTCAGCTTAGAAATAGAGATGAGCACCACCCCGCAGAGTCAGACAGGACTAGACTTAATGTCAGGGGAAACTTTTACCTTTACCTTGGGGGAAAAAACACTCTCTGAGAAGTGGCAGTGAGCTTTTCCCATGTCCCAGCGTAGGACTAGAAAAAGACTCCACCATGTCTGTTACAAGTAAGGCCATTTGGGATGTGAACCTTAGCACAATTGATGCAACACTTGAAAATACTGGGAAAATTTTGCCTCCTAACTATTTTTTCCTGATTCTGCTTAACTAGCTTTTACCCAAATATTATGCCCCCACAATGTTAATCTTCTCTGGGTAGATGAAAAGTCTGCATCATGGACATGCATATTTCCTCTTTCAATGCCTTTCATTTGCTTGTCCAGCCTTCAGCCAAAAGCGGTGAATAGTTAGGAGAGAAGGAGGGAAAAGGGAAGAAAGGAGATGTGCCCATAGCAAGTCCATTCTATTTTGTCTGGAATAGTAGCCCTGATTGTAGAACAGCACTTTTTTTGCTGTAGAACTTGAGCCTGTCTAAATTGCCCAGCAATAACACTGGTCATGCTTGACTGTGCTGTCTGAGTACATCACATGGCTACCAATGATGTTAAGTTGGGCTCAAATCAAAACAAACCTTGAATTCCTAGTTGTGCAGGTCATTCAATAAAAGCCAAAAAGGAGGGATCCTCCCTCTGGATTAACCAATAGAAGCAGCAATAGTTACTTGTTAGCAAAACATAGTTTGTGAGATATTACACAAGTGACTGAAACCAAATCTAATCAGAAATAAAATCATGCATTTTAGTGTATTTTTTCGTGTCAGGAGCGACTTGAGAAAGTGTATGATTGTATCTTATCTTGAGAAGATAATGCTGTAACACTACCCAACATGTAAAATAGACGTTGCAACACATTTTGAATGTCATGAATGACAAATTGTTAGTGCTATCAATTGATGCTATTCCATCTTTATAACTTTTTTTCTTATGGGAGTCATTTACCCGAAAAGTTCAGTGGCTTTTGAAGTTATTCATAGCCTGCTCTTAAATAATCCTTTATTTCTGTATTGATTTAATAAAGCAATCATTTAATAAATCACAAAAAATGAAAATTATTTTCTGGAGTTTGTTTTATACTTTATTGGCATGCTTACTTATCTTCTAAGATATCTTCTCATTCTTTGACATTAAACAATAGTATCAAACCCCAAAAATATTTTCTTCTAGCAGAGACTGGTGAAACATATGCATTCGCTCAGAAATTTGAATTGGAAAGATGGGATATTTTGAATGATGCTTTGTCACAAAATATCAATATCTCTATATATTTCTCTATATCAGTTCTGTGGTTAACTTTAAACGTTTCCTGTGTTCCCCTAGTATCTTGTAATTTCCGCAGTTACTGTGCCCTTTCCATTTAACCTCCATTTCCAATTAATAGCCCACTTTAAGTAAATGGGAGATCCAATAACTCAAGGTTAGGCAAATACGGATAACAGTTGATGCAATATTAATAATCCAATCAGATACTCATTTTCAGTGGGAGGCATAAAGTTCAAGGTTTTACCAACTGGTTTGTAGCAAAGCGGTGTGACAGCATCAGGGAAATTTCTGAAATGGCATTATTGCTTTAATTAAAATAAAATGTATCTCTGTGACATGGACTCCACCCTGTAGAAAAGGAAGTATTCCTTGTTGGCTCAGGGCTGCCATGATGACTGGCTCTATCATTCGTTTAATTCTGAATTCATGAATTGTTGTCTTGAAGAGCGGATGGTAGGAAAAGAGACTTCTGGAAATCTTGTCTATTCTCTGCTGAACTACTTCAAAAAGAAGAACAAAAGTCTTCCTTGTGGAAAAATGTAAATGTTTAATAATAATAATAATAATAATAATAATAATAATAATAATAGTCTTTTTATAGGACCCCTGCCTCCCCTTCCTCCAGGCAACATTACAGAAATTCAAAATAAAATCAGGAAATCTTAAGCAGAAATGGACAACAACGACAGACCCTGCCTGTTTTCCAAAGTTCTCACCATGCTTGTTCCTATATCATTTCTTTGCTGAAGGGCCATGCACAGAATTGACACAAGATCTATATGTTATAAATGGGTACCACATGACTTCAAAAGTATCTTTGATTATTTTGACTCTAGCAAAATGATGGTGAAATATCAAGTTCTCCAATAACACAAAGGTTTAAACATTAGCTACTGGAAGAGAGATAAACTTTTCAAGTTCTTCCAAGTTCATGTTTTTTCTATCCTGGCCACAGACACCAATATTGATATAAGATTGTTTTGTACATTTTTCATTTGCACTCTCATCAAGTGACAGAATCATTGAATCTTAGAGTCCGAAGGGATCACAAGTGAAAGTCTTTGACACACTGGGATATATACCTAAAGTACTCCTGAAATATATCTACCCAACCTCGGTTTAAAGTCCTCTGAAGATGGAGAAGCCACCACTCTCTGAAACAGTTCATTCCACTTTTGAATCACTCTTACAATAGAAAAAGGCCTTCCTAAAGTTTAGGTGGAATCACATATTTGTAATCTGAACCCAAAGGTTTGAGGTCAAGTCAACAATCAATAATGAACTTTGAAATTGTACATCCTGATTCATTATTTTGTGAATACAAGCATGACTATTTAACCAAAACAGAATTATCTTAGGACAAAAAACGTGTCTAGTGGGAAAATGAGTAACAGGATGTTGATAGTTCCCAAACTGTCTCCCTGCTCAAATAACCTGAATAGTTCTAGATACAGTTCCCTTGGACTGAAATTACTACTGATGAATGCCAAGAAGGTGAAAGATTTAAAAAAAGTGTTACTTGCTGTACTGGATCCTGATTGAACATGCCTCCCTTATCATAGAAACCTGGTTAGTTAGGGCTGTAGAGTTTTATCTCACCCAGCTTTGTCCATCAGGGTTTTCAGGCCAGGAATTCTTTTGCACCAGTTCCACACACTCCTAAAGGTGCTTGATGGTCACTGTGGGCACATCTACACTGACACTACAATGCAATTTGGAAATTGTTTGGGAGTAAGCTCCTTTGCTGTGTGCGTGAGAAGTCTGGAACTTCTTTAAGGCCAGGTGGGTGATTCCATTAACTATGGAACTTGGCCTCAACCTGCTTGTGGGGATTTTTTCTTCTAAGTTCCAGGTTAGATGAGCATCAGACCTCTGGAGGTATAGGAGGTGGGAGGAAAACCAAAAGTGACAGATAGGAACTGAGGTAACAAATTGACCATCCTAGGGGGTCAATTCGCACCCTGTTGCAGCTCCCATTCTGGAGTCTATATAATACACTTCAACAGGGTAAGTGTCTACAATGCATTCCACAGTTTGCAGAGCCAATTTTGTCCTGGATAAACTGGCTGGTTATAAGGAGCACAGGGGCCCTTCCACACAGCCCTATATCCCAGAATTTCAAGGCAGAAAATCCCACATTTTTTCAGTGTGGACTTGGAGTTCAGAGCAGATATTGTGGGATTTTCTGCCTTGATATCTTGGGATATAGGGCCCCAGGATACCTCTGTTACAAATGCTCTGCTTCCAGGCACAATTCAAAGGACTGGGTGTGCTATAAAAAGTCCAGCATGACTCAGACCCATTATCTGAAAGACTGTATTCTTTCATATGAGCCTGTTTAGAATTCAGGAAGAGGAAGGGGAGTAAAAAGGGAAGAAGAAAAAATCATAGCAATAGTCAGTAAATCTTCAAAGCATTTTCCTCCAGTAACAAAACATGGTTTTGGTTGTCAGCAGCTTGCCACTGTGCTCCCTCTAGTATCATCCAAGGAAATCAGCTTAGAGTTTGATCTACTTTTGGAGAATAACTTGAATCTCAAAAGTGTATACAAGGAAAGCCAATTACTTCCAAGAAATACAACATAAACAGGACAATTAAAAGAATATGAAAGATCTAATTTGCCACACTAATAAGTTTGAAATGACAACATTCTAGGTATCTTCTAGATACTTAGAATTTGTTGCCTGATGTGATCTCTGAAATGTTGTTGTCAACACAAGTACATTTCATTTGCTCACTTTGATGGTTTTATCATTCTGTTAGTCCTAACTAGAATAGACTGTTGAATATATTGGATTTACCTAAATATTCACTTTCAGTTCAACAAGTGATTCTCTAAATGGGAGAGCCAGCATGGTGCAGCACTTTGAGCACTGGATGATGATTCTGGAGACAAGAGTTGAAATCCCCTCTTGACCTTAAAAAGTCACCTTGAGCAAGTCGCATATTGTCTCAAGTGTCGTCTACACTGCGGTACAATGCAGTTCATAATGCAGTTAAAAAGTTAATCTTGCCAAGAAAACAATCTGAAGGCGCACAATAACAAACACTAGTTGGACTAACTAACAAGAATTCAGCTGATATTATCATTGAGGCAAATCTAATTTGCTAGGTAGAATTCTTATGTCACTACTTTGACATAGTGGTAGTGCAGTGGGTTAAACCACTGAGCTGCTGAACTACTGACCAAAAGGTTGGCGGTTCAAATCCGGGGAGCGGAGTGAACTTCCACAATTAGGACCAAGCTTTTGCTAATCTAGCAGTTTGAAAACATGCAAATGTGAGTAGATCAATAGGTACTGCTTCTGCAGGAAAGTAACAGTGCTCCATGCTGTCATGCTGGCCACATGACCTTGGAGGTGTCTACGGATAATGCCGGCCCTTTGGCTTAGAAATAAAGATGAGCATCACCCTCCAGAGTGGGACATGACTAGACTTAATGTCAGGGGAAATCTTTACCTTTGCTTATGTTCACAAAAGATCTAATTAGACATAGGATTTCTGATTTTCATGCAAGGAAAAATGTGAAATGACACCAAATGAAATATATTAGTGGAGTGTGAAAGTAAAAAAATTCCATTCATTGATGAAAATTCCCAGTAGCACTTTGAAGAGCCCTTTGCCTTCTGGCCTGCTACTCTAAAGGTTATTTTTTGAATTCCATTGACTCTCCCCTTGTATCTATTTTATGTTATTAGGCCTGTGCATTTGGTGTTTACTTTTAAGAAAATGCTACTAGTATAGCAACAGAGGTAGGTAAATTACCTCATGATGTGCATTAAATGTGATTTCCACCCCCTTCCTAATGTTATAAAAGCTATCAACGCTGGGCATTCTGTCATTGAATCATATAATACAAGTCCAATGGAGAAACTTAAAACTTTAAATTTTGTTCATGGCAAAGGTATGTAATGATTGCAACATTTTACCTTATATTTTTGTGGGTGAGTTTGATTTTATTCATTTGCTAAAGATATAATGTAAAGAACAAATATTTTTCTTACTTAAAGGAATCATATTAATTATAAGAGTCATAGAATTGGAAGGCACTAGAAAGGCCATCCAGTCCAATTCCCTGCTATGCTGGAACATTAAATCAAAACATTCCTGAAAGATAATAACCGAGTCTCTGTTTAAAACCTTCAGTAGAAGGAGGTTCCACATCCAAATATTTCTAGAAAATTTTCCCATATTTATTTATTTTTTTGAAAAATCTACACCATTGGCCATGGGATTCCTTTGGTGAGATGTAGTTAAGTCTTTGAATATTTCCATGTTCTCATTCATAATATATGGTTTGGAAGAGTGTGACATTTGTAATAAACACAATAAGAAAACTACACAATAAGTTGGTTCCATGAAAGGATCAGTATCCTACATTATACAATCAACTCAAATATCTTAGTGAACCTTCGCAGGCTTTTGTAAATTAATGTGGATGCCTTATGTTTAGGTTTTATGTTAGATATAATTTTTGATAGGTTACATTTTGTTTTATCTATAGATATGTTATAAATTATCTTCATATGTGGGGTTATTTTGGGCTATTATGTTTGTATTTGTTGTACTGAGACATTGAATGTTTGCCTTTTTTTGTTCATCGGAATCCGTCCTGAGTTCCCTCGGGGAAATAGGGCAGAATATAAATAAAGTTTTATTATTATTTGTTATTGATTATTATTTGTTTTATTATTATTTGACATCAAGAAGTCATAGAATTATAGAATCATAGAGTTGGAAGAGACCTCGTGTCCAACCCCTTTCCAAGAAGCAGGAAAATCGCATTCAATGCACCCCCGACAGATGGCCATCCAACCTCTGTTTAAAAGTCTCCAAAGAAAGAGTCTCCACTACACTCCAGGGCAAAGAGTTCCACTGCTGCAGTCTTTCTTATTTGGTTTAATAGGAAAACTATTTAACCATTTTTTTCTTGTCAAAACATTCAGGATTATTGGAAAAGGTCAGAGTATATTTAACAAGAAAACCACTGCCATCTTTGGAAGAAAGGAAGAAATATGATTATGAATTTGCAACTTCTACCTCATTCCATGGAGTGCATAATATTGTCCACACCACGAGCAAGACACGAAAGGTCCTATGGATGTTAATTGTTGTGGGCTCAATTGTCCTTGTTTCCTGGCAAATCCGCAACCGTTTCATCAATTATTTCAGTTGGCCCACCACCACATCAGTGGTAGTGCAGTATGTAGAAAACATTGAGTTTCCTGCTGTAACTTTTTGTAATATGAACAGGTAAGACATCTTTCACGTTCTTACATAATATTATTTTTAACTTGCTACAAACACACACTGTTCTTGTATTTCACATCTGTACAATGCAATGTTGTTGTTTTTTCTGTGTCAGGAGCGACTTGAGAAACTGCAAGTCGCTTCTGATGTGAGAGAATTGGCCATCTACAAGGTTGTTGCCCAGGGATGCCTGGATGTTTTTTTGTTTTTCCATCCTAGTGGAAAGCTTCTCTCATGTCCCCGCCTGCTGGAACAGACAGAGGGAGCTCATCCATGCTCTCCCCAGATTCAAACCTCCAACCTGTCGGTCTTCAGTCCTGCGTCACAAGGGTTTAACCCATTGCACCACTTGGGGGCTCCTATGAAATGTTACAAAATTTTTACTGTCTTGCTTCCTATAAGTCATTGGCTTTAGCAAGTATTTAGAGCTGCCTTAGGGAATGTGAGACTTACACTGCATTTCTGGTTTGTAGGTTCCAAACCCAAGCAGTAGCTAACCTGGGCATCATTGTCTTCTTGTGGAGCATTGTGTCTGAGGTTCTTCATATGTTTCATAGCAGTGGCAAATTTGGTCAAGAGCTATCCAAGTTCCTTCAAGGCAATCAGAATTTCAGCATCAAAGAATTTACAAGGACGAATGGATTCTATCTGAATGCCAGCACGTTACTGAATTGTGAATTTTTTGGCAAGCCATGTTTCCCAGAGGTAAGACCATTTTGCTTTATATTTTGGGCTTCTACTACCCAACATTGCTTTTGTTGTGGTTTTTGCTTTTATTTTAAGAGGAAGTGAAAATACCGAGTTAGATTTGGAAAGAGAAGCAAACATACAATTAATCTTGACCTTGCTCAAGCTATTGGAGCAATATAATGCACCTGTCGTGCCATATAGGAAGGGAAATGCTCATATAATTTTCAGAATACATTATTGTATTCTGAAATCACAGGCCTTTTGGTGAGAACCATTATTATAATAATATTTCCACATATTTATTCACAGCAGACTTTCCACAAAACCCAATATGGTAGGGCTTTTCTTTCTCTGCACACAGTATGCCAGTTTACAGCTCCCCATCTAGTCACTAAGACTATAATTTCTTATTTAAAAATTGATAAGAGGATTACTGGAGAAACAAATAGAAATGCTTCAAAAACTTTGGATTGTGAATTAATTGTAATTGTAATTGCATTCCATAGAGCTGGATAGGTAAATAAAGAATGGTTTACAGCAGGTCTGCAAAACATATGGTTCATGGGCCACTTGCAGTCTGCCAAAGGTATTGGGGTGGCCCAAATAGACTGCTACTCATACTGGGTCCCCTGCTGCCAGCACCCCTCCCAGCCCTCCCATTCACTTGACATTGCATTTTGCCTCCCACAAGATGCCCAAAATATATCCACTTTAGATGTCCCTGTCAAGCCCCAAGCTCCAGGCATCTTTCCAGCCACAGTTCGAAAGTGCATAACATTGGCATTTTAAGTTATCATGAGCCCCAGCTACTGGAAGCTATTCTACACACACGGATGGTTTGTAGCCCATCAGAAAATCTGGAGGTATGGGAGATGGTGAAAGAGCTGGTTCATTTCCTAGGGAACACTGGTTCAAAAAACTGTGGCCAGGTTGATAGCCAGAGCTAGCTACAGGGAGCAACAGCTCCACTGTCTGCCAGTTTGTTTCTGGGCACAATTCAAGTGATGCTATAACCTAAAGGTAAAGGTTTTCCCCTGACATTAAGTCCAGTCATGTCTGACTCTGGGGTTGGTGCTTATCTCCATTTAAAAGCTGAAGAGCCGATGTTGTACATAGACACCTCCAAGGTCATGTGGCCAGCATGACTGCATGGAGTGCCGTTACCTTCTTACCGGAGCAGTACCTATTGATCTTCTCACATTTGCATGTTTTCAAACTACTAAGTTGGCAGAAGCTGGATCTAATAGCGGGAGCTCACGCTGCTCCCTGGATTCGAACCTGAGACATTCAGCAGCTACCTACAAAGCCCTATATTTCTCAGGTCCAGATTATTTGGCAAAACACACCTCCTAGTATGAATCTGCCCAGCCCCTGAGATCCTCAGAAGAGGCTCTTATCTCAGTCCCATCACAATCACTTGCATGGTTGGTGGAGACACGAGAGAGAGCCTTCGTGGTGGCTGCCCACTCCTTGCTTGAACTCCTTGACTTGAACTCCTTGCTTAAGGAAGCCAGAAAAAAGGGTGAAATCCAGTACACAGTAAATCCAATGATACATTGCTATATTGATTCAACTTTTAAGAAACAGAAAGAATCTGACATGAAGCTAAACTTCTACAGTGAAGTAGGATTACTGCTCAAATAAAGTACAACTTCCTGTTTAATTCATTTCTTCATTATTTGACTTCTTTTTCATCATGGGTTTTGAAAGCATTGTGACACATTCATTTGCCAGAATAAGGGGAATTTCAGAATTCTCGGGTTTTCTAGAAGAGATAAAAAAAATGATTCCCCTCTAAAACATCTTAGATTTCTGTTATTCTGCTTACTCCATCTAGTACGGTATTGGCTACTGTTGTCTTTAAGCACAAAAATATTAATTTCTCATTTTCCCTTTGCTTTCTTCATTAAAGGACTTTCAGCATGTGTTCACAGAATACGGAAACTGCTTTACTTTTAATCATGTTAATGTTCCAGCAAAAAGAAGAGTGACTCTTTCTGGAAGAGGCTTGAGTTTACTTTTTGATGTCAAACAGGTATAGATACTGCAATAAAGCATGTCCTTTCATACCCAAAATTCTCTGCACCCCAGGACAAAGCCTTGGTTTTCCTACAGCATGGCACACAAATTGCAGTCCTCCATATTTTGTTGAACTGCAAGTATCAATAGGCATAATCAACCTAATCAATAGTGAGAAATACTGAGATTGCAATTCATAAATATATGGAGGCCATATTTCACAAAGTGTTGTGACTCTGAGTCCTCGGTGCCACAATGGGTTAAACCCTTTTTCCAGCAGGACTGCTGACCAATAGGTCAGCAGTTCAAATCCAGGGAGAGCAGGTTAAGCTTCCTCTGTTAGCTCCAGCTCCCCATGTGAGGACATGAGAGAAGTCTCCCAAAGAATGGTGAAACATCAAAACATTGTGGCGTCCCCTGGGCAACGTCCTTGCAGATGGCCAATTCCCTCACACTACAAGCGACTTGCATTTTCTCAAGTCACTCCTGACACGTAAAACCACTACAAGATAAGAAAACAAAGCACAAGGCAACAAACAGACAGCTTCTGAAGTCATTAATATGTCATGATCTATTAAAGCTTTGCACATGTCAAGATTTATCTTGTTTATATTTTTCAAATGATACCAAATTTTTGAATTATATGAAAGTTCCAGCTTTTCTTAAAATGAGTCTGCATACTTCCAAATGTATATTTTCTAAGTGCCACTCTTTTTCACTTCAATATATAGGTCAACTAAGGCCAAACATCAGAAGCATGACTATATAATTGTTGAATACATATATTAACTCAATGAAGAGTCAATAGTAATCCCTATGTCTTTCATTGATATTTTCCTATACCCATAGAGCAGGGGTCCTCAAACTTTTTAAACAGAGGGCCAGGTCACAGCCCCTCAAACTGTTGGAGGGCCGGATTATAATTTGAAAAGAACATCAATGAATTCCAATGCACACTGCACATATCTTTTTTGTAGTGCAAAAAACACTTAAAAACAATACAATAGTTAAAATGAAGAACAATTTCAACAAATATAAAATTATTAGTATTTCAATGGGAAGTGTGGGCCTACTTTTGGCTCATGAGATAGGATTGTTGTTATTGTTGTTGTTTACTTTCAAGTCGTTTCAGACTTAGGTTGACCCTGAGCGAGGGCCGGGTAAATGACCTTGGAGGGCCGCATCTGGCCCCCGGGCCTTAATTTGAGGACCCCTGCCATAGAGGAATAGTCAGAAGGAAAGAAGAGGTGGATTTTTAAAATATATAAAGATGGTAATAAGTAGATGACACATCACCCTAAAGGAAATATTAGTTTTGTTCTGTTACTGGCATGGAACATGGTTTATGCTTTGGATATAATACGTCTTATGGATATAATAGGTTCTGCTATAGGTTTTTCTATAGTAGAATAGAAATTAGTGTGAGTGCTTTTGAATTTAAGAAATGATAGGGAAAAATAAAGTGACAAATTCTTTGAAATGGCAGGTTGGTCAGTACTTGATATTGATAGTTCCCTGACTTCTTCACTTGGAGATTATATGGAATTTTCCCCACTTATTTATGCTCTATTTTTGTAATGCCTTCTTTTATACTAGGCACAGTTCACTGATGATCCTGCTCTTGGATTTGTTGATACTGGCATAACCTTTGCCATTCATTCACCAAAAGAACCTCCTAGATTTGATGGTTTAGGTATAGCTACACCAGTAGGCATGCATGCTCATGCTGCCATTCGTCAGGTAAAGGTAAGCATTAGAATAAATTGAAGTACATGTATTTCTAATGCATTGTTGAACCACTCAATAATAGAAGTTAAAATGCTCACCCATTTAAGAGTTTTCTTCTCCTCCTTCTCACTACCCTCCCTCCCAACCTTACCATCATCCCTGCTGCAATGTTAATATATGTTGTAGTGTGAAAGATGGTGTGCAGCCCATATATATATTCAGTGGGACTTACTGCAGAGCAGATATGCTTAAGAATGCATGATTAGGCTGCCCCCCAAGGTGAAGAATTGAATTGAAATCAGTGTGTTTTGCTTTTAAAGAAATACTTTGAGTATTCATTGTTAATTCAATGTACATTAGTAAATCCCTTATGAGGGAAAGATTTTAAAATAAAAGTGAAATATAATAAGAAAATGAAAAAACAGATCTGGTTATGTTGTGAAAAGTTTATCACCTCTCTTTTTTTAAAAAGTTGGTTATAATTGTTATAGGTCAGGGGTCCTCAAACTAAGGCCCGGGGGCCGGATGTGGCCCTCCAAGGTCATTTACCCGGCCCTCGCTCTGGGTCAACCTAAGTATGAAACTACTTGAAAGCACACAATAACAACAATAATCCTATCTCATCAGTCAGAAGCAGACCCACACTTTCCATTGAAATACTAATAAGTTTACATTTGTTAAAATTGTTCTTAATTTTAATTATTGTATTGTTTTAAATGTTTTTGCACTACAAATAAGGTATTTGCAGTGTGCATAGGAATTAATTCACGGTTTTTTAAATTATAATTCGGCCCGCCAACAGTTTGAGGGACTGTGACCTGGCCCTCTGTTTAAAAAGTTTGTGGACCCCTGTTATAGGTTATGAGATGGTTGTAGAATTTCCACCTTATTTACTGAAATAACTTGTGTGGTTTTGAGCATTGTGCACCTGGGCTTGAGTAGGTGATTAGACCGAAGAAGCATAGCTCTTGTGTTTCCTCCCTCATTCAAGACAGTCATTCAGGAATATCCTTGGGGAGAATGTAATCCAAACATCAAGCTTCAGCATTACAAGAGCTATAACACCTATGGATGTCTTCAAGAATGCAAAGCTCGGCATATACAGAAGTGGTGTAATTGCCTACCATTCATGCTACCAGGTAAAACTTTGCAGGTGCTGCACTTAATTTTAGAAAAGGTGTTCATAGAAGTCCACTGAGATTATAGGAGTCACAATTTTGGGAAACTCTTTTTATCTGTTTCCAAACTCATTTTGAGCACTAGGATTTAAATTATGAGCCAGTTATATGAAAATACAAAGAGATTATCATCATCATTATATTACTGTGTATGAATTAATAAGTCATAATAGATATTATATATTGGACCTTGTCTACATAAACTAAGAATTTAATATAGGTTCTGCCTTATAGGTTGTTCAGATATAGGTTTATCATATCTATGGGTGTTACTCTTAGTTGATTTTTTGCTTCTGCTGAAAGTCATCCATCAGAAAAATAGACAAATGTCATTTTCAACTGCTCCCTGCTTCCCACAGTTTCCCATGTCATTTGAAAACATTCCTCAATTCCAGAGCAAATTTGAGAGAAAATGAGGAAGTAAAGGGAGCAAGAATTGTGAAAAGTTTGTGCTACCACTGATGGATGTTTTCTCTCCATGAAGGACCACTAAAGTGATAATTTATTGTTGTTACTCTCAAGTCACATTTAACATATGGGAATCATCAGGTGAATATATGACTGAGTTTTCTAGAACTGAAAATGTATGACTTCTCCAAGGTCACCCAGTGAGCAGGGAATTGAATCCTGGTCTTCTGAGTTATAGGCCAATGATCAAACCATTACACCAATCTGGCCCTCAATTGGATAATACAGTATATGTATGAAATAGCAACTGGTACCTTGTGAGCTATGATACCATAAATCCAATTCATACTGTGGTAGCCCAATATTTGCTCATTGCAGAGGCTCAATTTTTTTATCTACCATGTGATGGTCCCCTTTTTAAGCAGTGCAGCATCCCTCCATAACACACAACAATGTATGTGTCATTGAAGAATGGAGGGGTCCTCAGAGATAGAGCCAGTTATTTTCCTGTAGCTCAGTGCTTCGCAACCTTTGGACTTCAGCTCCCACAATTCCTAACAGCTGATAAAATGGCGGGGATTTATGGGAGTTGAAGTTCAAAACACCTGGAGGACCAAAGGTTCGAAACCACTGCTGTATCTGGACCGAATGCAGTGACTTGAGGTATTTGTGGATGCATGTTGAAAGTTGTCCAGCTACCAAAAAAACCTGACAATTTCTCTACTGATCACCTCACACCTCACAGAAATGTGAGAGCTGCATTGCTTAAAAGGTAAGTTGAGGGGATAGAAGATATGAAGATAGAAACATAGCAATATGCCAGAAATATGTTTTCCAATGCAAGATCTTAGTCAACTCTATTACAGAAGTCCCAGCTGAAGAAATAAAGCTATTGGTGAGAATAGTTTGATGAGCCTTCAGCTGGGATAACACAGATATTTAATTCCCTTTGTTATGTCATAGAGATGTTGCATGCCGCCTTCCAATATAACACACTGTGAATGGAAAGAAAAGTATTATTTTGCCAGATAACTGGATTAGCAAAGGAGCATATTGAAATGTGTGTTATTTATACCATTGTCTTTCTTCTCATCCTGCTCTCAATTCCCTTTTCCTCTCCATCCACACCTCTTCTGCATTACTTTGGCAAGGAAATGGCACTGAATGTGACATGGAAAGATTTTATGACTGTGTTTCTCCTGCGTTATGTGAGTAAACCATATAGAAATAATAAAAAATTTTGGCTCAACTGTTAGAAACAATTGTATCTTGAGTTATAGTTAGCCACATAGTAAGGTTGTCCTATTTTCATCTGCAGTGTTTGCAGTTGGCAACTACATGGATCAAGTTCCACATATATTTCATTTTGGCCCCAATCCCATTGAGCACTGGTGAGATGCAGAGCTAGAACGTAGTACAATATTCACAGCCAGTAACTTAAAAGCAGCATCCGCACTAGGCCAATTTAAAACAGACTTAAATTAAGCACAGCCTTGGCTGCCCCACTGTTGGAAAGCAAAGTGGTGTTGTTAGGGTCGCCCAGAAGAATCCACCAGTGGTTGAAGAGTATTGGAGGCCTGCCTGCCTGTATTGGAGTGCAGGTCAGCTGTGAAGCCAAAAGACTCATTGACTGGGAGGTAGGCTTTGACCACGAACATGGTGGTGCCAGCCACCTAGGAGTCCTCAAAGACATGGCCTCGCTTCTAGTTCAACACACAGTAGCAGTTTGTGCAAAAGAGTGTGGGGAGGAAATAATGTTTGTCACCCTATATATTTTGAATATCATGGTCCAAAATCCCTTAAGTTGGGTGGAGCTAATGGGAACTGAAGTCAAATTCATCTGGAAACCCATAGCTTCCCCAACCATGGTTTTTCCCACCCTTGGTTTTCCCAGATGATGTTTCATTCTCTCAACTCCCTAGAGAAATCATAGATAAGTGATTAACAACCTCATCAGATGGGCTGATTTCGTCATACGCTGCTTCCTCTTTCCTTTCACCACTGCATGGCACACTGAGACTTCCAGCCAGGCTCCATGATAAAAGGGGAGAAAGGGAAAAGTACGTTGGGGTGGCAGCAACATGAGAGGCTTTCCATGTTGCCTTTGAAGCAATGGGGGGAAGTCGGACAGCGATGCTTCCCTCCATGGGATGGGGGCAGTGGTAAGTTGGGCAAAGCAGGGCATAGAGTGACAGGTTCTCCACGTCCCCTGCTGGGACCCCATAGATTTACCATAATATGTGGCAAATCCGTAGGCCTTTGTGATAAGGTCCTTAATCTATGCTTTCATAAATATATCAGTTGAATGGTTTTGTTCTGATTTGATTTCAAAAGTTCTGGGTACTCTAGAAAATTAAGTGGAAAAGAACAACATTAATCTGTAATACGCAGTAATATCTTTTCATGATGTACTGTAAGGTTTCTAATATAGATTCAGTAGAGTGCATTATTTTCATAACCTCAAGTGTAAAAGACTAGCTGCTTGTCAGATCTTTATCATTCTACACAAGATTACATTTTGCAACTTTCTGTATCTGATTACACTTAGAAAAAACTCATGGCTTTATTAATATTACACTGCATTAGTGCATCTAAGGAAATGAATTGAAATCCATGAAAGCTTATGTTAAAATAAAACTGTTAGTTTTAAAGGTGCCGCTAGATTCTTCCCCATCGTACTATCTTGTTTAATGCTGAAATGGATTAATGTGAAACAAATGCCAAAATCCTACACTTGAGAAAACATCCTCTAAAAATATGCTTTATTTGATCTCATTATTAAGAGGATAGGGAAACCTTTAGTTTTTCTGGTCAATTTTATTAACATTCTTTATGAGATAGGCTTTTTCTTTTAAGCAGGCATTTCTTTATGAAATTATTTCTTATTTTAGATAAAATAGAAATTATGGGATTGTGCTCATTAGGAACTCACAATTCCACTTGTCCAGTGCCTTGTGAGGAAACGGAGTACCCAACCACCATCTCCTATTCAACCTTTGCAAGTGAAAAAGCATTGAAATATCTTTCTGCAAAATTGAAGATAACAAAAGAATATATCAGGTACTCTTATCATGAATTCTCATGTAACGCCTGGATGCCTGTGTTTGTATGTGTCTTCAAGTAGCCTGACAAGTAGCCCATGCCCTGCTCACCCCACCAACTCAATAAATATCTTGAGCAATGCTCAATCTATTTACCAAGGAACTGGGAAATTGATGCTTCTGTTAGATGTTTGATGTTTTGTCTTATGTCTGTTACAACAAGCTGTGTGTTTTTTTTTAAAAAAAATAGTTGTTAAGTCTTAATTTGTGTTTATATGTTGGGTTATTAAATGTTGTTAGGCTATATTGTTGTTGTATTCAGGCATTGAAGGTTTGTCTTTTATGTTTGGAATCTGCCCTGAGTTCCTCTGGGGAGATATAGTGGAATATAAATAAAGATGATGATGATGATGATTATTATTATTATTATTATTTATTATTATTATTATTATTGTGACACTGTGAATTGTAAAGTGTTTTCTGTGGCAAGGAATACTCAGAGTTGGTTTTGCTAGTTCCTTCCACTGGAATACTGTTAGTGTTCCATCCAAGTACATGGCTGATCCTGCTCAACTTCCAAGATCAGAGGCAATCTGATGCCTCTGGGTGGCAAACCCGTCTCCCATTTATAGTTGGCAGCAGACTGTCTGGTTTGGCTTGAAGATGTTTGCAAAAATGTTGTGTTTATGCAAGATGGGACCACCAAAAATCAGGGAAGAGGGAAGGGAAGTGAGAAGAAATTATGGATACACATACTTGAAGCCATCATGGAAGCAAGGAAGAGAGGGCAACAATCTTGTACAAGGGTTGTTGTAGGTTTTTCCGGGCTATATGGCCATGTTCTGGAGGCAATTTTTCTCCTGACGTTTCGCCTGCATCTATGGCAAGCATCCTCAGAGGTAATGAGGATGCTTGCCATAGATGCAGGCGAAACGTCAGGAGAAAAATTGCCTCCAGAACATGGCCATATAGCCCGGAAAAACCTACAACAACCCATGGATTCCGGCCATGAAAGCCTTCGACAATCTTGTACAAGCACTTGAAGAATTATTTGCGGACCTGGAGTAGAAATTCCACAAGGGATGATGATGCAACAGCATATGGTCTAGAAAAACTCTCTACATGTCCTATATGCTGTAAGTATGGCCTGGTGGGATGGAAACCCTACTGGAAATGGTGTCAGCTAATCAGCTCTCGTGCACCATTTATTTCCTACCCCCAAATCCTTTTGGTTCCCTTTTGCTCTGGATTGCCACATTACCTTGTTACTTGGGTTTACCCAAATTCTGACTCATTAGCAGTTCCAGTCTACTTCCTAATCCTATTTCAAGATTACAGCTTGATGGGTTCATGATCAAGTAGAGTGAAAGTCAATAATTGTCAAAGGCTTTCATGGCTGGAATCACTGGGTTGTTGTGAGTTTTTTGGGCTGTGTGGCCATGTTCCAGAAGCATTCAGCTTTTCATTTATATAAACCCAATTTTCCTAGTTTCCAACAGACCTCACAACCTCTGAGGATGCCTGCCAGGTGAAACGTCGAATGCTTCTGGAACATGGCCATACAGCCCGAAAAACTCACAACTACCCAAGTCAATAATGTTTTCTCCTTAGAGACAAACAGCAGAGGTGATTCTGAGAGTATTAAGGTAACTGCAGCATACAGACAAGGTCAATGATCAAAGTGGGAAAGTACCCCAGTGTCCTTAGTCTGATTAAAAGTGCATATATTTTAAAAGAAAAATGCAAAAGCAACAGCCTGCTGTGTTTCCTGTAGTTTTGTTTTCTAACATTTTTATTTAGCCCTTTGGCAGTTTGATTGTTATTCAGAAATGGGGCCCTATTTAGCAATTATTCAATGAAGCACAACAAATTACAGGAAGATGTTTCTGTTCCCAAGTGATTAACCAATAGGAAGCAAGCAAACATATTAATGAGCGGACACAATAAATTATCTAGCAATGTCACTAACTGATTTCTCAAAAATGTAAAAAGGTAGATTCAACTACGTACAGCCATATGTCAACGATGTACAAGGCTTGCATTTCATTTATGTCTGGAAACCTAATTAATAAGCTCCACTAAAAGGGTCAGAATGTTCAGAATGGGGAATGTCCTTGAAGATATCAATTAATCCTTCATTTTTCAGAACTGAATAAAAATTAGAGGAATTTGCATTGTCCAGCAGGGTTCAATACCCAAAAATGAAACTAAATTTAATTGATTTCTATTCAAAATTAAGACAAAATGTAAATAATGGCTGATGACTCGAAATTCTAAGGATGAATTTTGGATAAATAGCAACCAGGCACACAAAAAGGTCATCAACAGTTCATTGATTCGTATCAAAATCCCTACTAATTAAATTATGGCAGTTTTGCCTATTATACAATAGGGTAATATCACTGTCAGAATGATTTCCAACAGAGCAATGGGAGGGGTCTATCTCCAGCATGCCCAGCAGCCTTCCTGTGCATCAATAAAACTTATTCCTGTGAATGGGAAGCTCTTCAGGGCTGGTTTTCAGGCAGCAAAGATGGTTTCAATGGAGAGACGTAAAGACATTCCTTCAAGCATTACTACTACATTTAGTGTACGCCTTTTTCATGTATATCTTTCTAATGAGTTGCTATTAAAAAGACAGATTGGGAAAGAGGATATGATCCTGCTTCTCTGGCACCAACACTTTCTCCCACTTTGGGGGTTGTCTTTTACTCACAGAGTAAAGGACGACCCCCACAAAATCTTTGAGACTCATTCGTTTCATTTAGCATCAGCCTATGTGGACTCCAGTCCACTTTATCAGATACAAGACTACAGTTCCTGAAAGCTTATCCTAGAATTAACCAGTTAGTTTCAAAGGTGATGATGGATTCCTGTATGCCTTGTTATGCTAAAAGAGGCTATCATAGTGATCTCTTTGAATTTTACTATCCACAAAATGGAATTATATAACAGACCAGTGGAGTAACTTCATAAAATGTGATAAGGTTTAGAACAGTGATTCCCAAAGAAGGCATTACCACCCCCGGGTGGGCACTGCAGCGATCCGAAGGGGGGTGGGTAATGGCCACAGGTGCATTTGTGGGCAATGAATAACTGTAAGGGGATGGTGAAAGCATAAAAGAAAGAAGAGAAGATTTAGAAAAAGTGATTTCCAGGAGGTAGGCCAAATAAGTTTGGGAACCACTGGTCTAGAATGTATCATATGCTACCAGAGTTCATGAAATAGTTGTTAAAATTTTGACTTGTAAGCCATCACTTTGTATGAGTCTCCCTGGGCCTTGAAATCCTCCAAAAGGCCCTTCTCTTACTTCTCATGGTTGATGCATATCTTCTTAATGGCTGCTCTTTGACTCTGGAACACCCTTCCCAGGGCAGTTGGGGTGACTTGCTTTGCTTTTCTTTTATTGGTAGGCAAATACATCTTTTTAAATTCTATCAGGTCTTTATAACATAAGGTTTTTGGAGAAACAGTTTTGTGGATGCCATATTATTTTGATTGAACTGTATTTTATTTTATTTTTAAAAATCCATTTTAGCTAAAGGTTTGTAGTTGTTTTGATATCCTAAATAATTTGGTTCTATTTTAATGCTGTCTTTGGTATATTTTAGCTGTATTATATTTGTTTTAAATTGTAAGATGCCTTGAGTCAAGGTGTGTGAAGATAACTGAGTAACTAAGTAGCCTGTCCTGCCCAGCCCACTCCATCAGCCACTTTAAAAGACAACTGCTGGATAGGACAAATGAGATCCATTCATCTTCTGATGGAGGTTCAAGAAGGAAGATGTTGTCATCAATTCACCTTCTTCCATGCACTGGTAAGAGAAGGCTGGGATATTTCTCCTCCTTGTGCCTGAATCAGAAGCTGAATTGAGCTTTTTTGCCCAATCTGGCAGCTACAACGTAAGTTAGACTGGGGTGGTATTTAAGGACCTCATCACATTAGACCAGTGGTTCCCAGCCTGTGGTCTGCGAACCACCAGTGGTCCGCAAGAACTTAAATATTGTCCATGGCCTCACTGTTACTACACTGTTGCAATGAGAGTGACTGGTCTCATGAAACCCTCTTATAGTGCCAAGGTTGTGGGCGAGCAGATGGCGACTACTGGATGGCATATGTTCTGTATCAGAAACTAGAGCTGATGTGGTCTATCCAATGCAATTTTCTGAATTAGCACCCCCAAATAACCAAATGGAATCTAAAGTTGACCAAAAACTGATTTGTAGCCCTTTTGGGGCTAATGTTGGAAAGTGGTCCCTGGTCAAGTGGTCCCTGGTCAAGTGGTCCACGGTCAAAGTGATCCCTGGTCAAAAAAAAAGATTAGGAACCTCTGCATTAGACTAATAATGTGGGTTAATCCGGACCTTGCCATAGTGTTCAGTGTTAGACCATGTAGTTGTAAGTTATGGATCTTTAACTGGAATACCAAATAAAAACAACAACAATAAGTCAGCTAACAGTCTTACTCTTGCTGGCACTAGCAACTGAATTTAGATATTAAGTTTAGATAGTTTGCTTGATTTCTGTAGTAAATGGGTATGGGGATAATTGGTGGCAAGGTGTAAATAACAAAAGTTTCAAGGATATAATTAAAGGTGTCTTTTTTTACCCCAGGCATAATCTTGTATATATTGACATTAAATATCATGATTTGAATTATAAAATGACCCAGCAACAAAAGGCATTAAGTGCATCTGAGCTGCTTGGTAAGTAAATAACAATGAAAAAGTGTCATCTTAAAAGTGCTAATGGCAGTCAAAATTACTTGCACATTACAGAATATTTGGGTTGCTGTGAGTTTTCTGAGCTTTAAGGCCATGTTCCAGAAGCATTCTCTCCTGACATTTCACCCACATCTATGGCAGGCATCCTCAGAGGTTTTGAGCATATATGTCCTGGCTGTTTTCCAAGTTTGTGGATACATTTATTAAATAATCTTATTTTAATTTTTGAATAGTAAGCATCAATTTGTGTAATAATATTACACTGTTATTATCTTATGTTTAATCCCCAGCATTTGGAAATATGTTGCTCTGGTCCTCATCCAGAGCAAGTTAGATAAATTTGATTCTCAATGAAATCAGTGGAACTTATATTTGTTCCTGTATTTCAAAAGGATGCAACTGACCTGCACTGCATCCAACTTATTAGGTACTTATATGGTAAGAGAAGCATATCAACAGACTGGAATAGAAGCTCTCCCAGTTCCAAATACATTTATTTGGAATACAATGAAACTTATTTTTGTAGAACTTCTTTCAAAGCAAAGTTGTGTTAACATTTCAAACAAAACAACTGTGAGACTGATGCATTTGTTCCTTTTGTTTCAGCTGATGTTGGTGGCCAACTGGGCTTATTTTGTGGAGCCAGCGTCATTACAGTGATTGAAATTGTGGAATATATTTTCACAAACTGCTGTTGGATGTGTGTCTTTCTTCTTCTGAAAGCACCAGAGATGCCAAATTGGAATGCTTCAAATGAAAATCAACAAGTACAGAAGAGAAGGATACAAGAATGTTGAGGGCTTGGAGAGAAAGGATGAAAGACACATCTCTCTGTTCTATAAATGGCACTCATCTAGAAAATTAAACAAGGTAGAACTATGCAAATTGGGCATTTAATGCTCCACATTTGAACACTAACCTTATTGTGTGGAGGTGTATAATGGAGGCAGATCTTGATAGAGTTACTTCTGGATTATTCTTCCCATAAACCTTTAGCCAGTATGAGGAATTCTGAGAGACATCATCCAAAAATGTAATCCCCCCCCCCATTTCTGTGTTATGGGGCAACGCAACGCATGAAGAAGGAGATATCTGTTCATGAAAAAATCTCTGTCCTTCAGACCATGAACTTGCCACAAAATATGTAAAGGTAAAGGTTTCCCCTTGACAGTAGGTCTAGTTGATGCTGACTTCAGAAAGTGGTGCTCATCTCCATTTCTAAGCCGGTGTTGTCCATAAATGCCTCCTAGGTCATGTAGTGGGCATGACTGCATGTAGTGCCATTACCCACCTATTTATCTACTCACATTTGCATGTTTTCAAACTGCTAGGTTGGCAGAAGCTAGGGCTGTCAATCAAAGCTCACCCCGTTCTGCGGATTTGAACCGCCAAGCTGCTGTTTATCAACTGCGGTTCAAAAACTGCGCTATCGCGGCCCCATCACAAAATAAAAAATCAGAATCTATCAGTCTCACAAAATTTGGGATTAATAAATGTTTTGCTCTCAAAAGTAGACGTGAAGTTCAACAATTTATATCAAAGAATGAATTACCTCTCTCTTTGCATAAACCACATAGTGGTGAGCGTAGATCACCAATGCATATTGAATTTTGAAAGTTGTTTTTTTTTCTGTCTTCAAACACACTTGCTAAAATATCTGAAACTATGTTGTGTGTCTCTGTGAAAAATAAATCAATAAAATCTAGGCATTTTTATTTACATAAAAACTTATGATATGATATTCTACATTTCAATACAATTTTAACCGTTATATTGACACTTCTAAATAAAATTACATTATAACCAGGATTCTGCATCAGGAAATGTAGCTACACTAGTCTTGCATTCAATCCCTCTCCCACAAACTTGAGTTTGTGACATAAATCTAATGGCTAGCAAAACCACAAACCATACACGCACCATAGAGTGGAAAGAACAGCCCATAACCTTATTTGGTTTCAAATGTAGGTAGACTGGTCTATAAATGGGTCCAGATCCAGTCATCAACAAACCCACCTGTTTATTTATGAGCAGGTCCATGAATGGAACACCGACATGGCCACCAGAGAGTGTAATTATTTTACATGTTATACAAACCAACAGTACATTTATAGAATGGAAAAATAATGAGAGGTGACTATTACAAAACAATGCATGCTTGTATTAAGTCTTATAGCAGTCGTTCTCAACCTGTGGGTCCCCAGGTGTTTTGGCCTACAACTCCTAGAAATCCCAACCAATTTACTAGCTGTTAGGATTTTTTGGGAGCTGAGGTCCAAAACATCTGGGGGGACACAGTTTGAGAACTGCTGTGTTATAGGTATCCCTCTTTCATTCTACACTCACCTTCATTTTCAAGGTTCTGGTATCACCATCAATTGCAGATCATCACCAGCAGATGTCCTACTCGCCTTTCTCTTTCCCAAGCACAAAATGAAATATTTTCAGAAAGAAGCAAAAGCTGTCAGAACAATCACCCCTAGGTAGTTTGATATATTTAATGATCCAATACATTGAAGCCAAGGTTATGATGGTTAGCAGAGGAAGTGAGAAAAATTGTACTTCTTCTACAGAGCTGATACTTTTGCTCACTTTTAGAAAAAAAGACTTCTGTACACAGGGTCTTGGTATCAGAATCTGGAAAATATGCACCTGTATATATATTTTTGTATCATGATAGTAGTCCATGAGTTTCAGCAGAAGAAATGTATGCTTATCAATAGTGTCCAGGGTTTTCATAAAGTACTCCTATTAATTCAAATTAATTTTATAGGTGACATCAGGATGGGCTAAAACCAAAAGCACTTTATTTATTTACCATATTTGTATATGGCCTGAGGTGACTCAAGGCAGTTCACAGTTGGCAACAATTTGATGCCACAACAATTAAAATACAATTAAAACAGTCATAAATACTATTAAAACATTTAGCATATAGTATAGTATAAAAACAACACAAGGACAAAAAAATCATACATGTCTCCTTACCAAAGTCATTATCCATCATCAAGTCCTTCAATGATTTCATATTTACCAGATTATGCTACATTAGCCAGGTTTTAACCTTTCTGCAGTAGGTCAGAAGGGAGGGAGGTACTCTTATATCCCTAGGCAGGGTGTTCCACAGCCGAGGGGCCACTGCTGAGAAGGCCCCACCTCTAGTCCCCGCCAAACACATCTGCGAAGGAGGCTGGACTGAGTTTAGGGCCTAGATGATTCATAAGGAGAGATTCGTTCGGATAGGTAAGCAACCTTAGGTTGCTGTGAATTTTCCAGGCTGTATGGCCATGTTACAGAAGCACTCCCTCCTGATGTTTCACCCACATCTATGGCAGGCATTCTCAGAGGTTGTGAGGTCTGTTGGAAACTAGGAAAATGGGGTTTATATATCTGTGGAATGTCCAGCATGGGAGAAAGAACTCTTGTCTTATTTTTCTCCCACCCTGGACATTCCACAGATATATAAATCCCACTTGCCTAGTTCCTAACAGAGTTCTCAACCTCTGTGGATGCCTGCCATAGATGTGGGTGAAACGTTGGGAGAGAATGCTTCTGGAAAGTGGCGATACAGCCTGGAAAACTCACAGCAACCCAGTGATTCTGGCCATGAAAGGCTTCGACAACACAATAGCATTTTAGGTACCTTTCTATAGCTAGACTTCTGGGAACTCTACTTGCTTTGGGGAGGCAAGTTTCTTTTAACATGAGAGCTCAAGTATCGGAAGAGTATGATGTCTGGGGGGCTGTCTGGGGGCATACATTTTGCCCACTCCTGTATTAGGAGAAGGCTAATACAATCATACATTTGCATGTGCATTTAGCTGCACAGTGGAGAAAGAAGACACTGAAGGGTCTGGAGAGAGTTCTACAACAGCTCTTATGTGGGAATGCTGAAAGGATTAAGTGGTTATTTGAAAGACACAATAAAAATACATCAATATTTCTGTTTTGTTGGCTTAATTTTTTGGGGGGGATGGGGTGGGGAAGAGAGATACACTCCCCAGCGAAATTAGGTCAGCTTCATCAATCCTCTCCTTTGAAAGAAGCTCAAATCATGGTTCTGGGACCAGGCATTTGGGTAGCAGGCTTAACAAGTAATCACAATGATTCGTGAGAACTGATATGAGACAAGCTTTGGACTTGAACTCTGGATGCTGAACTGGACTTGGATGTGATTATATTGCTGTTAGAAATGTTTTTAATTGGGTATTTTATAATTTATTGTTTTAATAAATGTCAATTTGTATTATATTGCTTTGTGGTATCTACTGGCATCGAATTGCTGCCGGATGTAAGCCACCCTGAGTCCCCCCCCCCCCCTTGGGGGTTGAGAAGGACAGGATATAAATGTTTGAAATAAATAAATAAATAAATACAATGTTGTACTTGTGACTCGCTCCGTGAATTAACCAACAATTAGAATTTGTTATATGTTCTAGGAAATGAAACTTCTGCTAATTAAATAGCCTCGAATATTTAATTATATATTGAAGTGTTTATTTAAACCAATTAAGACTAATTACTGTGCTTTCATGCCTATAAATATGCTCTATATTCTGCCCCTCAGGTTGCACATATCGTCTTTCTTATTTTGGCCATCTAGTCCTCATGCATGCACTTTGAGCATCAAATCTAGATGTTTCTAGATTAGGCAAATGCTCTAGATCAGCCTACTGGCTGTTAGGAATTGTAGGAGTTGAAGTCCAAAACACCTGAAGGGCTGAAGTTTGACCATACCTGCTCTAGATCAATTCAAATTTGTCTTTAGGCATGCTTATGGAACAGAGATTGATTTTCTTGGTAGCCAGTCATTCTTTAGCACAAACTGGAGAGATGTACGGCTTTATTACACAAAGCAGAATGATAATGCCTTATAAATAATGCCTTATAAATGACGTCATCCCTCTTCTGTTCTGTATCTGTGGGAGAGTGTTTGGAAAGTGTTCCTTTTTATTAACACCCACATGAATATCTGTTAATGACTTTTTCTGTTGTGCTATGATTTCCAGTATAAAAGTTCAATCATGCTTTTATATTGATTTTGGATGGTCAGAGGGTGCATTTTAAGTTGAGAAACTTCAGTCCACCTATAGTGATTGGGAAAAAGGAGAAAGAATGAACATTTCTGGGTTGCTGTGAGTTATCCGGGTTGTGTGGCCATGTTCCAGAAGCATTCTCTCCTGACATTTCACCCACATCTATGGCAGCCATCCGCAGAGGTTGTGAGGGCAATTCTTTTCCCCTACAATTTGGTGGCAACTCTTTTCCTCTACAATTTGAATCCATTGCTCTTTGTCCGGATCTTTAGAGCAACAGAAACAACAAACTTCTCAGGTGGGTTGTTGAGAGTTTTCCGGGCTGCATGACCATATTCCAGAAGCATTCTCTCCTGACGTTTCACCCACATCTATGGCAGGCATCCGCAGAGGTTGTGAGGTCTGTTAGAAACTAGTTTATATCTCTGTGCAATATCCAGGGTGAGAGAAAGAACTCTTGTCTGCTTGAAGCAAGTGTGAATGTTGCAATTGGCCACCTTGATTGGCATTTAATAGCTTTGCAACTTCACAGCCTGGCTGGTTGCTGCCTGGGGGGATCCTTAGTTGGGAGGTGTTAGCTGGCCCTGATTGATTCTGGCCATGAAAGCTTTTGACAACACAATGAACATTTCAATTAGATTTCCCTTCCATTAGCAGATGAAAATTCTTGAAAAAAAATATATGTAGAAGAAGAAAAAAACAATTTCCAAGTGACCACTCCAACCCCAACACTACATGGGACTTGTCAGAGAAGCCAAAACCTTGCTCACTGTCCCTCCATCTCATTTTCCATCCCTGCTTGAGTCCTTCTCACTTGCGTATTCCTTGCCTAATCCATAGAGTAGGAGCCCCGAGTGGTGCAGTGGGTTAAACCCTTGTGCTGGCAGGACTGATGGCTTGAAGGTTGGGTTACTGACCTCAAGGTTGCCGGTTTGAATCCAATCCGTGGAGGGTGCGGATGAACTCCCTCTATCAGCTCCAGCTTCATGCGGGGACATGAGAGAAATCTCCCACAATGATGGTAAAAACAACAAAAAAATCCGGGTGTCCCCTGGGCAACATCCTTGCAGATGGCCAATTCTCTCACACTAGGAGGCAACTTGCAGTTTCTCAAGTTGTTCCTGACACAAATTTAAAAATAATCCATAGTTGCAGGTGATTTGAAGGCAAGCACATGCACACATCCATTACACTTTCTGGAGTACCAGTCGCAAAGAAAAATGGTCTGAGGCCTAAAGACTGACCATTTCCAACAGCTCTTTGATGAAATTTTGCAGCTGTGTGAACTGACAATAGTGAGGACAGTGTGTCCTTGAAAATGAAAAATGGAGTACAACGGTCTTCATTTGCAGATGGACATTCATTTAGCATTTTCTTAACCATCAAAATGTTTTTGTCATGGTATTTATTGGAATGACTATTGCTCCAAAATATTTGCATGATTCAGATTTCACTGGAAGTATTTACAATACATTTGGGTAATGCTTATAGGAAATCATTTGATGCAATTGATGACATTGTAACCCAAGTTCAGTTCAGTTCAATACAAACTTGCATCATATTGCCAGGGGAGTGAAGAGTTAATTAAGTTTCTGTTTTGCTAAACATTCAGCCGATGTGTGCAATGTTATCTGATTTCAGATGAACTGATTTTGCAATAACATACTTTCATCATACCCTTCTTCTATGGAAGTCTGAGATTTTTAGCGAAGATTTCAAAGAAGCAACATAGCATAAAATATGTAATCCTGTTCATGCAGATGAATGTTGTATGAACACTAAGCATCATGCAATCTCTGTGTATGATTTTACATGGAGCTGAATTACAAATCTGGCTTTATAAATATAGACCTGAAGCAGCACTTCAAGAAAAGCTTATCTTGTCACAAGACATTACGAAAATGGACATTATGAAGACAACAAGGCACATCAGTTAATTAGGGCAAAACTATAATGACATCTCGGATTTGTCAGTCGGACATGCCTATTTTAAAACATATTGATTTTTCCCTTTCTGGCTGGCATGGAGCTTTAAAAAGTGATTGTTGGTATATAGCTCTTTAACTATACACCAATGTTTCTCAACCTTCCCAATGCCGTGACCACTTAATACAGTTCCTCATGTTGTGGTGACCCCCAACCATAAAATTATTTTTGTTGCTACTTCATAACTCTAATTTTGCTATGGCTATGAATCGTAATGTAAATATGTGATATGCAGAATGTATTTTAATTCACTGGACCAAATTTGGTATGAATACCTAATATGCCCAAATGTGAATACTGTTGGGGGGGGGGGGGGTTATTTTGTCATTTGGAGTTGTAGTTGCTGGGATTTATAGTTCACCTACAATCAAAGAGCATTCTGAACTCCACCAATGATGAAATTGAACCAAACTTGGCACACAGAACTCCCACAACCAACAAAAATATTGTAAGGGTTTGGTGGGCATTGACCTCAAGTTTGGAGTTGTCATTCAGCAATGATGGATCTGGACCAAACTTGGCACAAATACTCAATATGCCCAAATATGAACGCCAGTAGAGTTTGGGGAAAATAGACCACAACATCTGGGAATTGTAGTTGCTGGGATTTATAGTTCACCTATAATCAAAGCAAATCCTGAACCCCACCAATGATAGAATTGGATCAAACTTTCCACACAAAACACCCTTGACAAAAAAATACTGTCTTTACTGATGGTCTTTAGCGACTCTTCTGACACCCCGTCTCGACATCCTCCCCCCAAGGTCCCGACCCCCAGGTTGAGAAACGCTGCTCTACATCATAGTATGAAGCCAGTGGCACACCCTTCCTTGTTTGGAAATGAGCATTGAGAACTGGAGGGTTGTGGATTTTGTTCTTTTTGTTAGAAATGGATAAGGCAAATGTGCTCTACGTGTGCCTGATCATCTTCAGAACATCTACTCTTGAACATATGGCTTAATAAGGCTTTTTGTAGATATTCTTGAGAGCTGCCAGGAAATGACCTCTTAAAAATAAAACTTGGTGACACCAGCAATATATAAGCAGTTCTAAGTATCAGGCTTCCCCTGTAAACTTATGTTTTCACACTAAGGACCTATTGACTTAAGAATCCCTATATAGAAAGGATGTAGATCTTAGGCCAAAGAATGCATTCCACAGAGATAGAGAAAAATGAAAAATGATCCAGCACATTGTATACACACACACAGAGCAAATTGGACCATTACTTGTTAGATCCGGGGAGTGTACGGTTTGAGCTAAGACCTTAACAATGATTTTCGCAAGCTGCTTTGACATTTTATCCACAGACCTCTACAAACTGAGATACTACTATACTGTACATTTCTAATTGTTATTTTCATATCCCATTCTTCAACTGTCAATCAGCAGAATCTGCCTGCAAAATGTGGCTGAAATGTGATCTGTCTTCTGAATCTGCTTGTATTTTTGTAACATACACAAGCTCAAATGGGAGCACAGTTTTCACTCCTATGGTGATGCAGAGGAAGGAAAAAAGGCAGGAAGAGAAAGTGAGAGATTTGGGGAGGGATAGAGGGAGGAGGGAGGAAGAGAGGGAGGGGGAAAGGGGAAGGGAGGAAGAGAGATCACACATCACTGTTGTGTTGTCTGCTGGGATCACCAGAAAGTCCCCCGATGGCTCAATTGGTTAAACCAAAGTCGGTGTGGTTCGAATCAAGGGAGCGAGATGAGCTCCTGTCTGTCAGCTCCAGCTTCCCATGCAGGGACATGAGAGAAGCCTCCCACAGGATGGTAAAACACCTGGTCATGCCCTGGACAACGTCCTTGCAGACAGCCAATTCTCTCACACCACAAGCGACTTGCAGTTTCTCAAGTCACTCCTCACACACAGGCACACAGACACAAACCCTGAAGGTCTGGATGGCCCAGAATGGGGGATAGGATTGGGAGATAGAAATGGAAAGGATTGTTCCTCCTCTTCTCTGTTGTTTTGGACTTATATAGAAGCCTACAACATGGTCCAGTCTCTATTCTGGCTCAGCCTTCCTCTGCCTTCACCACAAATAACAGCATGCCCCTTCCCCTCATTAGTTTACTGACACAAATTGATAGAGCTGGGAATTTGATCTATAGAGATAACTTGGTGAGGAAGGGAAGATGTCTTCTTTACTGCAATGTCTACATTCTTCTTCTTTTGTGCACCTTGTTTGTGTGGGGATTTGTAAAAAGGCATCATGGTGTAAAGGGTTGACTGGAAAGTCAAGTGTCGGCAGCTGATTGGCTGACCATGCCAGGAGCCAGAAATCTGATTGGCCACTGTTTCTAGCTTGCTGCTGAGAGAAATGGTTTAACTGCCATTTTCACCTCAGAGAGTAAAGAGAGTGCTGACTGGAAACAACCAGGAAGGAAATGGCTGCCAACTCTCTGAAGCCTGATCATTTCTAAGGCATGAAGCATATTTTAAAGACTGTTTAAAAGGACTGTTTATTCCCTGTTCTCTGTAAGAATTCAGAGAGATTGCTGTATATATTGTTGCTGTTTGACCTTTTCAACGGAAGTAAAGTTACTGTTACTCGTTATACAAATCTGAGTGACACATTATTATACTGCAGGGTATATTTTGGTTCAGAAACAGTGTTAAAGCTTCTGTTTATTTACATTTACAGCCTACAATACAATGGAACCTATCTCTATAAGTATCCTAAAGGGGTCATGTCGGAAGGACCTCAAGGAACTGATCTGGCCTAGGTGCTGATACAGGCAGCACCCCAGTAATCAGATCATGTTGTAGTAACTGGATCCAATCCTTCTGCTGTGCCAATTACTGTAAATTGTCATTCCAAAGAGTAACCGGTTAATGCCTTCCCTTCTGCAACTTTCTCTGCTCTGTAAAATGGTATGGATGGGCCTACTGCTGATCATATACAGAAATAAATGAGGCTGAGGTTAAGCGGCAGCTCCTTATCCTGCTCCAGGGACACCTCTCCGTCTCTCCATCCACCCATTCCCAATTTTCTTCATGTGGTGTCCAGGCAAGGATGAATCTTACATGCTGTTGGTTTGAGTTGACTGCCTCATTTCACTTACTTGCCTGCTCATAATGTGGCAAAGGCAGCATGTTGGGGGAAAATATGCTTCATTGGATGAGCGTCAGTGAAGGGAGAGGTCACCTCTGGTAGGCTTCACACTGTGCCACTATGTTCAAATGATGCTTTCTGGTACCATGGCTTATGACTGTACTGTTCAGACAATCGAGGCAGAGTGGTAAAGGATATAAATAATTGTACAAAGTAAACTGCAGCTGTTAGGGCAAGGATAACATGTATTTATTGTATCATTTCCAAAATTAACATACAAGTTTTCACTGGGAGAATAACCCTTCCAAAGATCAGTAAAAGGAGAAGAATCCATAATTTAAAACCTTTTCCTTTTCACACTAACATAAAACATCTATACATATATTATGTATTGATGAGATCTATATATATGTATACATATAAACTAATAACCAACATATTTTATACATAACAATTATATTTATGTATATATACATTTATGTACAGATTTATATTTTATAAAGACACACTTTAAAAAAATCCATAATGAATGTATTATTCCTACAATATATCTAAACCAGGCATGGGTAAACTAAGGCCCGGGGCCCGGATGTGCCCCCCTGGGCACTTAACTCAAGCCTTCCTCATTTTCCCTGTCCTCTTGGCACAAGGACATGGTAGCCCACCATGTCCTTATGCCAAAAAGATGGGGGGGGGCACATAGCAGCTGAGAGCCCTCTGGAATGCTTTCAGCCACCGTGTGTCTCACCCTCCACCCCGTATAAGGATGTTGCAAGCAGCCCCATCCTTATGCCAGGAGAATGGTTGAGGAAGTTGCAGTGGCGGCTGAGAGCCCTCCAGACCACTCTCATCTGGTGCCTGTCTCACCCTCCTCCTGGCATAATGCCATGAGGACAGCCCGAGGATCGAGGGAGTTGCCATATGTCCCACCTTCCTCCCTGCATAAGGATGGAGGACATGCACCACGGGGTGACCCTCATGGTGGCAAATTTACTTGCAGTGGCAGCAAGGCTGAGAAAGAGCCTAGTCTCCGATCAGGGTATTAGTATGTGTCTGTGTAGCATATTTCCCCGGTTACGAGTGATCTGTTAACTTCTGTATGTTATCTATTTAACAGTTGCGGGTTCATAGACTGTAATAAAGTTATGTAACAAATGTTCAGTAGCGTATGGAGAGGAGGAAAAATATTATCATAGATTCCATCCTGGTGGACGTAGTCGACAATGATTATATAACCTATTGAAGAGCTATATTTTTATACTTTTATACTTTATACAGATTTTAATTGCTTAACTGTACCATCTTTGATGCCTGATTGGCTGATTTATACTTTTTTAGCCAAAGTCATCCAATGTGTTTTAATAGTATGTGTAATGTTTTATTGTTGATAGTATACAGCATCAAATGTTTATCAATTTTGTTTTTTATAAGATGCCCTGAGTCCCTCTAGGGAGAGAGAGCAAGTTAGAAATAAAGAATCACACGCATAAGGATGGGACAAGCAGTCCTGTCCTTATGCTGGGAGGGCAACCTGAGGATGACCTGGGCCCTGCCCTTCCCTGCCCCCTCCTGGCCCTGCCCTCTCCCAGGCCTTCCCCACCCAGCATGTGCCTAGCCCCCTTTCCTCCTGATCAGGCCCGCAATGCAGTCCCAAGGCAATAAAGTTTTCCCATGCCTGATCTAAACTAAACGTGAGTTCGGGCACATCTAGAACTCAGGCTAGAATATGAGAAGTTCATAAAAACGCAAGTGTTGTTTACATGGCAGTGACATTTACAGAGGTCTATATACATGTATGATCATATGATGAATTTGGGCAATCAAGCTTCTTTTCATCATGGTGGACGCTTTTGCTCTCTGCTACCCAATCATGTAATCTTAATACAGAAAGAGTTCTAAATTTCACAAAGGGCACAGATGTTGTCAGATCCACTCTCTATACTTGGGAGCAGGGCACTGGGAAATCTCATCTGTCAATCTTCCCTGATGACTCAATTTCAGAATTTCTTGTTTAGAGGTCCAGAAAGCTCAGATTATTCTGACATTCCTGAATGGGCACCCACATTTTTGTCTTGATCGCAGTACATGTATACATATATGTGCACAAACAAAGAAAATTACCCTGATACAAAAAGTTGTCCAGCAACATACTATGCATGAATGACTACAAATCAGTAAAACAAACAGGAAAGAATGTGATTAGATTTAGAATGGAATTTGGCACACATTTCCCAATAACTTTACATTAAACAACCTACCCTTTTTTCCAAGTAGAAAATGTGTATGTTGCAACACGCAAGAATCACTACATAGCAAAAGAGCAATTGACAGTGCGTTGAAGTTAGTTTCTAGAACAAATGGCAATATTTCACTATGGCAGACTCAAGAGAAGCAGATGGATGAATATAATAAGATTTCTGGCAAAATACCAAATCATGGTTATAAAAATTTCAGTTCTCTGAGATCATGATTGCTATCAGTAAGAATTTCTTTCTTCACAGAGACAGCTGTGAGTCACACCATGGTAAAGATCATGGAGGTTAGTCAGATGAAGATGAAAAGCACATGTGTGAAGCACCATCTTTCTCATGGTTAGCTAGACTACGCATGGCTTAAAGTTCATTCTTAGGTTAGATAGGGAAACAGAGACACGGGATCTTGGGCAATGCATACCCACAGCAGAGATACTACAACATCAAAAGCCAAATGAGAACAGAAAGCAGCAAAGGAGCTTGGGGAAGGTGGATGAAAATGTTACTGTTCAGCACTGATCCCATGAGTGATACAAAATGTAGCAACAGCAGTCACATCTAATTACTACCAGGCTATATTAGTGGCAGGACACAGTGCTCAATTCTGTTCTTTGTCCTCTTGTGTTTCACCCGGCTCAGTTAGCATCGTGTGTTACTTCCTTGAAGGCATGCAAGAGAAGTTTGGAAACAAAGGAGGTGAGTTTACAGTAATCATGTGCAAAGTGAAATATTCTCATGCGTGCAAAGTACTAAAACAATGTTTTGAGGGCCCATCCAGACAGCACCTTTATCCCAGGAGCTTCTGCAACAAACAGGAGGGTGATGACACACCGTTCCCTGTAAACGCAGAAACAATCGCTACAAAAGGCAAAAAATGCAAAGAGCAAAAATATCACTGTTTTGAGCCAAATATGCAGATCTTTGCATGTCTGTATGTCCCTGCAATTGAAAATAACGGAATTTTTTATCTGGGTTTGTTTTCAAGTTTTACATGTTTGTTCCTGATTGGTCAGTTCCTAAAAAGAAGTCGACACTTCAGTAAAAGGCAAAAACTTTGTGTGCCAGAAACTTTATGAAATGTGTGGAAGGCACATGTTTTCTGGCCAAGACAAAGTTGTGGCCCCCTAGTCAATGTTGTACATCTTTTCACAAGAAGAGCAATCAGGAACTGCCATGTGTAACCTAGGAATAGCACCCTGTTGTTTGATGCCACAAGTACACAACCAAATCTGTCTGGACAGATGGCCAGGCTCCAAAAAGTGTCAAAATTCTGTTCCTGGCTTGAAAGTGTGTGTTCCTGTTTGATTGTGCAGTGCTGATTTGGGTAGAAGTAGTCCTACCCTGTAAATTTTGTTTGTATGGCAGATACTTCATGAAACATCTGTAGGGCGCAGTTTCTCTGGCCAGGAGAAAGAACTGAACTTTTGCAGTAATTCCCTACAGTGATTCTCTGCATATCTGCATCTTTCTGGTGGAAGTCCTGTGGCGGCCTTCTTGGGAGCCTCTAAATCTCACAACAAAGCATCAAGTCTGGACAACAGAGGCAGAAATCCTGGGACCAACTGGTCTGTATGTGGACCTCTTCTGAAGTCTTGGGACTTTTTGCCCCTGTTTAAAACCTGTGATTTAGTGCTGTCTGGAAGTTCCCAAAGAAAGTATCAATTCTAAGCCACCATCACCAATGTTATATATTTTTCTCATAGAAAGTACAGAATGACAACAGTTCAGTTTTGTATCCATAGCGTATCTGATGGTACAAAATTCCTATGAAGAAGCCTTCATTTCTCACAGCTGAATTATGAACCCTGGAAGACTGCAAAATGGGCTTCATGGAAACTGACAAAGTGCAGCTTTTGAAAGAAATACAACTAAGGGGTCAGACGTCATTCCTACAAATCTGGACTTACTCCACAATGTGATTGTGAGATAAGATAAGGCTTGAAAAGATATTGTTGGGTGCCAAACTTCAGCCACTCTAGCTAATGCTGAAGAATTCTGAGAATGTCACTGCTGTCCAACAATATCTAGATGCACTTTATTCATCCTGACATAAATATTGTTGCTGTTGTAAATTTAACATTTGTTCAGCAGAGGAATCCAAACATACTGTCATTTTGTAAATTCTGTTTATTAGAAACCATATTTACTACACACTTTAGTACTTGAAAGCAAAGTAGTCTGGAGTGAAGAGTTTTCTGCATTAAAATTATGACAAATAATGGCCTTTAATTCTATGTCAAGTTAATGGGCAAACATGTTTTGGTAAAATGGAAATATTTTATAAACAACGCCACTGGTTGCGGTGCTGCAACTAGTAAGCCAAGACAAGACCATAAGCTTCAGATGGGACCTATTATTACAACTAGATATAGCCACCATATACCTTTTAGTTCAGTCAGAGAAAGAACCTGGTTCTATGGTCTTGTACAACAGTATGACAGGGGAAATCTGACTGTCACCGAATTTTGGGGGGGGGGGGATCAAGGATCGATAAGTCAGAGTGCAAAGAGTGGAGTGGAGTTAGAAGAATCATAAGGTCCATCCATTCTCTCTTCTCCCTCTTCCATCTAGAGCATTCAACTGAGCAGTATCAGAGAATAGAGTTAGTGGATTGCTGTGAAGTTTCCAGGCTGTATGGCTGTGTTCCAGAAGCATTATCTCCTGACCTTTTACCAACATCTATGGCAAGCATCCTCAGAAGTTGTGAGGTCTGTTGGAAACTAGGTGGTTGAGGTTTATATAACTTTGGAATGTCCAGGGTGGGAGAAAGAACTCTTGTCTGTTTGAGGCAAATGTGAATATTGCAGTTGGGCACCTTGTTTAGCATTGAATGACCTTGCAGCTTCGAAGTCTGGCTGCTTCCTGTCTGGGGGAATCCTTTGTTGAGAGGCATTAGCTGGCCCTGATTGGTTCCTGTCTGGAATTCCCCTGTTTTTGGAGTGTTGTTCTTTATTTCCTAGAGTTTTAAGGAGTTTTTTAAAAAATACTGGTAGCCAGATTTTGTTCATTTCATGGTTTCCTCCTTTCTGTTAAAATTGTCCACATGCTTGTGGATTTCAATGGATTCTCTGTGTAGTCCGACATGGTGGTTGTTAGAGTGGTCCATGTGGACAATTTCAAGAGACAAGAGGAATCCATGAAAATGAACAAAATCTGGCTATCAGTATTAAAAAAAACCTCTAGAATCAGGGCAATAAACAAAGAACAACACCCCAAAACAGGGGAATTCCAGATAAGAAAGAGTCAGAGCCAGCTAATCAACTCCCAACAAAAGATTCCCCCAGGCAGGAAGCAGCCAAGCCTTGAAGCTGCAAGGCTATTCAATGCTAAACTAGGTGGCCAGTTGCAACATTCACGCTTGCCTCAAACAGACAAGAGTACTTTCTCCCACCCTGGACATTCCACAGATATAGAAACCCACTTGCCTAGTTTCCAACAGAACTCACAACCTCTGAGGATGCCTGCCATCAATGTGGGCAAAACGTCAGGAGAGAATGCTTCTGGAACATGGCCATACAGTCCAGAAAACCACAGCAACCCAGTGATTCTGGCCATGAAAGCCTTCAATAACATAATAGTTAGTGTTTGGTAACTGGTTTATAGTGATATCTGTAAACAGGTGGTCATTTGGTAGGCAATGGGAAGAGAAAATTAAGGTTATGGTTAACATCTTGGGATATCTATTTGGTGAATAAGAGGAAATGGCTTCTGGAGATCCCAGAACCTGGGAAGTGATGAAGAAGAGGACTCTTAGTCCAGAAGTTTAACCCTGACTTTAAGTTGCAGGACTCATGGGAATTTCCATTTGCCTTCAATTAGTGAGCCATCTGGGTTGCCATTGGGGCACAGATGTTTCACTCATGGAAAGCTGGTGTGGCCACGCAGTCTCAACTGCTCCCTCACTGGGTTGCACCCCTCTCACAGAATTTAATTGAGTTAAAAAGTCAATATCGTATTTCTTCAACTGTAAGATGCCATTGATTGTAAGACGCACTCTAAGTTTTGCAGCAGCAACAAGAATACGTAAGATATACCTGCGATTCTAAGATGCACCCCTTTCTTAGAGATGTTTATATAGGAAAAAGTGCGTCTTAGAATTGAAGAAATACAGTAGTTAAAATATCATGACCCTTATTGAATCAAATCCCTATATCTCTTTAGTTCCATTGTGGATTAGCAAAACTGTGCCTTGGCAATCCCCCAAGAATCTTCTGATACTGAAAAACTAGTTTCTAACATATGCACAAACACCGGGGACAAATTACTGACATTAATCTGCTGTCAAGATAACAAATGTATTAAGGTAACAATGTTTTTAAATGGTTTGTTTCTTCTAGGGAACATTCAGTATTGCAACTCAAAATAGCCCTTATGATTTAGAAGGCTTCTATGTATTCCTTGGTTCATTAGTCATACCTCCGTCTCTGTGCACTTTCTGGACAAAAACCAAACTTGCATTGGTTCTTTTTTACCCTTCATGGAAACAGGACCTCTGTGTTCCAGGTGGAATTGTGGATCTGAATTTTCCGGAGCCATTAAACACCTACAATTAAGGAAAGATGAATTAATCCATTGGCAACAAAAATCACTTATGTGAAGGGCATCCTGGCCCAGAGCAGTAAGAGAATGTACATACTATTCTATAAAATATTTAAAAGCCTTTGTTTTGAAAGTAATCAGCAAACTCAGTCCCTCACCTGTATGTGTATTCGGAGACATTGATCTTCCCTTTCTCTCCTGTGGTTTCTGTTCTGCTTGTTAGGTTAACGGTGTTTCCAAACAGACAATAACGGGGCATCCTTTGGCCAATGACACCTGTAACTACTTCTCCCGTATGAATACCTATTGTTATCTTTTTAATTTGACAACAGAAAACAAGATTAACATGTTGGTTGGTAAATCATCAAGTAAATCATCATATTCCTTACTCAAATGATTAACAAAGCATGTAATAAATGTAATATATTCAGCATCAGTATGATTTTCTATCCATGTAAGCACGCCCTTGTCAGGATAAGAAACAAGGAATATTTTAAAAGATACATAGGTACCTTATTTATTTATCTGAAACATTTATATTCCACCTTTCTCACCCCGTAGGGGATTCAACATATATACGGTTTATATATCCGTGGACATTCTATGGATGTATAAACCTCAGCTGCCTAGTTTCCAACAGACCTCACAACCTCTGAGGATGCCTGCCATAGATGTGGGCAAAACATCAGGAGACAATGCTTCTGCAACATGGCCATACAGCCTGGAAAACTCACAGCAACCCAGTGATTCCAGCCATGAAAGCCTTCGACAACACAATCTATATACTTCTTATCTGATGGTACTCAAGGAAAGATTTTAAAATCAATTCACAGGTATTATTTAAACTCAGTCAAGATGATTCAAATTACAGGGCTGCATTCCTCCAAGTGTTGGAGGGAGTGTGGAAAACTGGTGCCTATTACCATCTTGGGTGGCCTTGTCCAGTAGTCGTCATTTGGTTGCTATTACAAAAAAAAAAAACCAACAAAAACAAAAATAACCCCAAAACTGGAAAAAAAATCCCAAAGCAAAGCTTTTACACCCTTTCCAGGCACTACTGAACATATTTAATGACACTTTCAAAAAATTACTTCACAACTACCTAATTACTTTTTTTTTGCTAACTTTGGCCAGGCTGAAAACTATAAATAGTGAAAAGAAACAGTTCAAATTCCCAATAGATGCAAACTAAGATAGAATTTGGGATTTGGAACTTGAGGAAAATCAAATCAGGATAGTATTGACAACCAAGAATCTATGATGTACATCCACACACAATGAACATGTATATTTAGGTATATTCATATGCATGCACAACCAATTCCACAGCGGAATGGAAATATACATATGATACCAATACGGTTTCAGCCATTGTGTCACAGGATAGTACACATCAAGAGTAAATGTAAGACTTCTGTCTCTGTTACTTCTGATATTTAATAACATGGCAATTAAAAAACATCCCATGCTCTGACATAAAACAGTTCTGGTTTTCCTGGGAACAGTAGGACAAAAGTGCCAGTTCAGCAGCTTAGACAATCATCTTCTGGTGGAGCAGGCAGCACAGTGATAAAGCATGTTAATATTTGTGGATTCATAAATACATAATACACAACACGTGGGAATAATTCAAACCCCAATTCTTATTGAAATGTTTGTACACACTTTCTATCAACATATTATATTCCAAAAACGAAGGTAAACATTTACGAGTGCACACAGATGTAGTTTCATCTCCTCTGACATTTTTGAGAATAATAAATTAATTAGGCTGCAGCCATACAAGGATTAAACCCTGACTATTATTTGTTTACACAACAACATTTTGACTGTAACAACCATTTTGTCTGCATAGCCACAAGGAACAATTATGCAAATTATGGGCAAACTGCTTATAATTTGGGAGAATTATATTTAGCTACTGTAACAATCTATTGTCTTAATTCTGCTTCAGCAAAAGGACTCCCATAAAGCCTGGGTATCCCACAATGGAGCAGTGTTGTGCTTTTACAGAACTCCATTCCCACAAATCACAAAAAATGGTCAGATACTAACCTGTACAGACTCTCCATCAACTTGAACCTGTCCAGCTATTTCCATCATATCCAGTGCTAAATGGCAGATAGAGCGGGCATGATGGATGCATGGCTCTGGCAAGCCACTTACTGTCATATATTTATCTCCAACTGTTTCGACCTAACAAAGATTGAAGGAAAGCATTTGTATGAAGAACGTTGTGCATTGTAGTCTTTGATCAGAAAGCAAAGTATTAATATTGATAAGTGTGCATAAGGGCACATATTAACTAGAGACTCAGCATAGAATATTTTGCTAAAAGCAACTTGCTTGATGACAATGGTTTCTGCCCAAAGAAATAAAGGGCATAAATATAATGAAAAAGAGATATACTTCCAGATTGATAACAATCTTGGTTTTCCAGCCTAAATATTCTAAAGGTACCAGATACGTGGAAGCTAAGCATGGTCAGCCCTGGTTAGTCCTTGGATGAGAGACTGGCAAGAAAGACCAAACGCTATAGCCTAAATTTCAGTGGAAGAAACTGGTAGAACAACCTCTGAATCTGTCTTGCCTAAGGAAAACCTGAAGTTTATGGGGTTGCCATTGAAGGCACATCCACACAAGCTCTAGATACTGTTGGGAGACTACCTATGAATACCTGGTGCTTCAAACTGTATTTTAGCAGAAGGAACAGGCAAAACTGTCAAGGGACCCTGTCTTGATATTCTGGGATAAAGGGCTGTGTGGAAGGGCCCAAGATTTGTTACTCAGCATTTCTTTAAAATCCACATCAGGTTTGAACTGGATTATATGAGTCTACACTGCCATACAATCCAGTTCAAAGCAGATAATCTGGATGTTATATAGTCCTAGGGTCCCTTATACATTGCCATATATTCCAGATTATCAAAGCAGATAATATGGATAATCTTCTTTGATAATCTGGATTATATGGCAGTGTAGCTCCAGCCTGAGTCAGTTTCTGGTTGATATTCAGATGAACATTTTCAGGATACATTTATCTGAGGCCCTTCCACACAGTCATATAACTCAGACTATCCAGGCAGCTTTTCATAACTTCATACCTACACAGTGTGGTTTCTTTTTAATTTTTGATTAAAGCAGCAATAGAATAAAAAATTACTTCAGGAATGGAACTGAGGTGCTTACCTTATAAACAAAGGGATTTCGGCGTGAATCAGTCAGAATATCAAATCTTGTGTAAAGATCATTTAAGAGATTGACAATTTTCATGGCTCCCTCTCCAGAGGCATGTTTACTGCAGAAGGCATTAAATCCAACGATGCCACTGAAAAGTATGGTCACATTATCATAACGCTTTGCTGGTATGGGGCGCTTGTGTCTCAGCTCATTGGCCACAGATGGAGGAAGCACAGAATACAACAATCTATACAATATTGGGGGGTAAGAGTAAAGAAAAGGAGTGGGAAAAACAGAAAAAGTCATTTTTATATTTTGAACACTCTAGGCTTCCACTATTCACTGATTACAGAGATTAGTGGCGCTAAACAATTATTAATGCAAGTTAATAGATGTAATCCTGAAATAGCAGGAATTAGAACTATTTCTAGAGCAATTGTTCCCAACCTTTTTTTGACGTGGGACCATTTTGACCAGGGACCAATCTCCAACGTTAGTACTAAAAGGCTTACGAGTCAGTTTTTTGGTCAACTTTAGATTTGGTTTGATTATTTGGAAAAATTTCAGAAAATTGCACTGGATAGATCACATCAGCTCTAGTTTCTCATACAGAACATATGCCATCCAGTTGTCGCCATCTGTTCACCCACAAAAAACCATATTTAATAAGCCTCAGCACCATAAGAAGGTTTCGCAAGAGCAGTCGCTCTCGTTGCAATGGTGTAGTAATGGTGAGGCGGTGGACCATATTTTAGTTCTTATGTACCTCTGATGGTCCATAAGAACTAAACCACTGCTTAAATAGTAGGCATTAGATTGTATAATAAATATTTCTCGAGTAACCAAATAGCAGAAACCTTTTGAAAAATGGTAAGAGCACAGAACTAAATCCAGACATGGCTTTCTATTTTAAGTTCCACTAATTGACCAGTTTTTCAAATCCTTGTAGTTGTAAATTGATAGATATCATTTTATTTTATTTAAAGATAATAACTGTATTTGAACTCTCCTCTTAATCTTCTCCACAGAAGTTGTCTTTCTTTTTCCGTATCAGGGGCAACTTGAGAAACTGCAAGTCGCTTCTGGTGTGAGAGAATTGGCCGTCTCCAAGGAAGTTGCCCAGGGAATGCCTAGATGTTTTGATGTTTTACCATCCTTGTGGGAGGCTTCTCTCAAGTCCCCGCATGGGGAGCTGGAGATGACAGAGAGAGCTTATCCCCGTTCTCACCGGATTCGAACTTGCGACCTGTTGGTCTTCAATCCTGTCGGCACAAGGGTTTAACCCATTCTGCCACCGGGGGCTCAAAAACCTAATTTATTTTAGAATGACATCAATGGTTGGCTAGAGATTGTTATGAAAAAAATCCAGCATCCATGAGATAAAACATTTATTTTGCCTATAGTCAAATAATGGTAGGGCAATGCATGTTACTATTTAAATACTGACTTTCAACTTGTGAAATTAGAATTATCTGTTTGTAGTATAAGATAAAATGATATCGAAGTAATGTAGTCCTCATAGCACATCCATTTGAAGATCTGGCTTTCAAAATTCATTACTTATTATCTGCCTTCAAGCCACACAATACAATATTTCCCCCAAAGAAGTTAAATGTTTAAATCCAAACTTCAAACCAAAAGGCAATTAGATTCTAAATTACATAAATACAGATTTATCTCATATTTTCAAAACTAGCTGTTTTCATGTATATAACAACAGTGAAAAACATTTGGTAATTTTGATTGTTAAACCAGATAAAATGTTCCTATTGTGAAATGATGCAGGTTGTTGTCACTAAATTATGTCCCATGAAATAGTGTCCAAAGACGGTGGCATAAAAGGAAACAAACAAGGGTTGGGAGAAGACAAAGAAGACAAAGAAGATCAGAAGCAGAGATAATAAAAGTAGATGTGTTTTCTTCCAAGACAAGGACATGTAGTCTTGAACAATACCTTCACATCTGAGTACATCAAAATACGCATTACATAACTGCTCTGATGTCAGCCGTAGTGCTATAATCATTTACCTTGCAGCAAATCATTTACCTTGCAGCAAACATTGCTGAATTAAATGGATTTACTTCTGAGTAAAGATGTGTAAGACAGAATTGTTAACACAGGTTTCCAGATAATTGAATACAATATGGATTTACTTCCAATTAACTAGGTTGGCCTCTTATTTTCACAGATACTTTTGATTCATATTTCAGAAGGCATCTATAAAAGACTAAACACAATTATCTCTCTTCCGTCTATGAAATACAGTAAATTTTATAAAACTGGTTGCAGAATATTCTGTGCCTCAACAACAAGGAGAGGAAGGTTGTTGTTGTTGTTGTTATACTTCTGATCAGAGCTGTTGGCTGATGACTGCTTTCCATGATATCCCTATCATAACACAAATAACCTCTTGTAGAAGAGAAACAGAAACCAAGACCCCATCTACACTGCCATATAATGTAGACTGAAACTGAATTATATAGTCAGTGTAGATTCATATAATGCCATTCAATGCAGTAGGAGCTGCAGTGGAACAGTGGGCTAAACACTTGTGCCGGCAGAACTACTGACTGATAGGTCAACGGTTCAAACCTGGGAAGAGCAGGTTGAGCTCCTTCTGTTAGCTCCAGCTCCCCGTGTGGGGACATGAGAAAAGCCTCGCACAAGGATGGTAAAACATCAAACATCCGGGTGTCCCTTGGGCAACGTCCTTGCAGACGGCCAATTTTCTCACATCAGAAGTGACTTGCAGTTTCTCAAGTCGCTACTGACATGATAAAAAATATGCAGTTAAACTATATGATGTAAGTCTACACAAACAATATAATGCAGTTGCAAAGTGCATTATATAGCAGTGTAGATGGGGCTCAAAAGAGAAAATCAAATTTCTAGTAGAGCAGTGGTTCTCAACCTGTGGGTCCCCAGGTGTTTTGGCCTACAACTCCCAGAAATCCCAGCCAGTTTACCAGCTGTCAGGATTTCTGGGAGTTGAAAGCCAAAACATCTAGGGACCCACAGGTTGAGAACCACTGTAGTAGAGGGTTTAATGGGATTTGGATTTCATCACATGTGTAAATTACTTCCCTCTCAGGAAAGTCTATTCCATTTGTTCAACATTTTATTCAAGATACACATTCCTAACCTGAAAACTGACCTCTGTGAATGGCCATACATAAATATATATCAATACTGCATATATTTTTGCTTACTAAAGTATTATTTACAGTAGAGAAAAAAGACTTGTCCTGGGTTGATTTGAAGCCAGATTGCAAATGGGGGGGGGGGGGGTACCTACAGGAAGCATACAGTTCCTTTGTACTAACTCAATTGGTTGCTGGACCATTTCTGGGCATAATTTAAAGTGCTGGTGATGACCTCTAAAAGTCCTATACAGCTTGAGTCCGTGCTATTTGAATGATCATACTTCACTGCATGAAACCATTAGCATCGTAATATCTCCTGAAGAGACCCTTATTTCTTTCTCGCCAACTCAGCTTCATTTGCTTAGAAAAAGAGAGACAGCCTTCTTGGTGACTGCTCCCAGTCTTTCAAACCTCCTCTTTAGGCAGTCCATTATTCCTCTTTGTCCTTCTCCAACAGCAAGGGTATAACATTCTTATACCCACAAGGTTTTAGAAAGTGATTGGGATGAATTTTTAATTATTCTTTAAAATAATTTTAATGCTTTTGATCTTTAATCTTTTAATTTTATGAATTGTTTAATTGCCTTTTAGAGAAGTGTTTCATTTAGAACATGGCTCTATAGCCCGAAAAAACCCACAAGAACCTAGTGTTTCATTTATATTTTATTTTACGTTTTGTATAGTTTACTACCTATATTGTTTTAGGATATGCTGTTAGTCACTTGGAATTTCATTATTGGGACAAAGGTGAGATACATCTGAAGAAAATGAAGAAAAAATCACAATGTCGTAGTTCTTGCGAGAAGTGGCTAAGAAATATCAAAGGAATAAGATAGATAATAACCATTACTAGTAATATAATATCACTTCTTTACATTTTGCCTTGACCGCATATAATCACATGTTTTAGATTCTTTTTCTGAGATATGATCCTTAATATAGAAAGTATAGAATGGAGGGTTACAATGCAGACATTTTTCCGCTCATTACATCACCCGTGTATGAAAGCAGCTGAGTAACTTCATCTGTCTCCTTCTTTTGTTCTCATTAGGTGAACTCATTTTATTTTTATTAAAATCTGAACTCATCTATTGACCTATTTTCTTTTTTTAAATATCTGGTGGTCCACTTGTACAGAGTGAGTATTGCAACTCCATACATGTGTATTCATATAATAGAAAGTGTAATGTTTTTATGACAAGTGGTTCTTAAAGAATTGTTTATGTGTTGTCTCAAATATTGTATAAACTAGGCATGGGCAAACTTTCTAAATTGGGAGCCTCATGGCCGGGCCGAAGGGAGGGAGGGGTTTCCCCCCAAGTCCCCTCCCTGCCCTTTCCTCTCCTAGTTTAGCACTTAAGATGGCTTACAACAAATATAGTAAAAATTCAAAGCATATAAAAATTCAAAGGTTATTTATTTAAAAAAGCAAAATCAGTTAAAACAAACAAAAAAGCATTAAAAACAAAAAGGGAAAGTCCAGCATGGTATTTTTATACTAAAAATCAATTCACAAAGAATAAAAGGTATTCACTTGGATGCGGAAAGATAGTAAGGAGTAGGCATGTGTATTTGGGCCAAAAGGAATGCTGTTTTGTGTCCATTTTCATCTGACTCCTCATTTTGCTTACCAGAAAGTTATCCAAAAGGGGAGGGGTGTTTTCTAGGCCTGGGTAACAACGCAAAAATTTGTTTCTAAAATCGATTTGTATTTGGGGGGTTTTTTTGTTTTGATANNNNAAAATAATTACAAAATTTTCCCTTAAAAAAGTTCGGTATTTACGAAATTTCGTTAATATTTACAAAACATTTTGTAAAGATGGCGCCCTTTTTTTTTCAATATTTTTTAATTTAATTATTAATTTAGTAGAATAGGGAGGAGAAATTATTATTAAGGAGGGAAGGCAGGCACTCACTCTGGCGGGCCCTCAAGCGCTGCCGCCGAGTTGGGACCGGCTCCTCCGAAGCTAAGGTTTCAGTGGAATTGGGAGAAGGGGCTCCCCAAAGGCCATCTAGTCCCGCCCTCTGCTATGGTCTCAATGCGAAATTGGGAGAAGGGCTCCCCAAAGGCCATATAGCCCAGCCCTCCGCTAAGGTTTCAGTGCGGAATTGGGAGAACGAAGCACACCCACCGCAAAGGTGTGGAAGGAGGGACGGGCCGCCTTCCCGCTGAGGGTCGCTCGCCCTCTCGCTCGCTTGCTCAGCCGGCGCCTTCCCCGCCCTCTCCTCCTCCTCCTCCTCCTCCTCTTTCAGGCTCTGACTGGCTAAGGAGAGGAGAGAGAGGAGAGCTCCCAGCAAGCATCTAGCCATCTTACGTATTTCCGAAATGGACGGAAATACAAAAATATTTGGCGCATGCCATTTCGATATTTAAAAACACTTCCGGGTTTAAAAATAAGTTTTGTAATCGTTTTGTAATTGCTAAAATTAACAAATATTTAACGAATTACAAAATTAACGAACGAAACCGCCCAGGCCTAGTGTTTTCCATTTCATTCAGCAGAGATTCAGCCCATTGGCTACAATGGGAAACTTTAAAAGCTCAATCCTCAGCCATTTGAAGGCTTACCTGCATGGAACCTACCTCGGTTGTAGACCCCATTTATAACTGCAGGCATGGCAAGTTTCAAAGCAATTCTACTGATTTTTTTAAATAATTATTTTAAGTTTTAATCATAACATTTGGAAATTGTACTCGCTGGTTGTGTCCATTCTCAGCCAATCAGAGCATGGGCACAATTAGGCATTTTATTGGCTGAGAGACATACAGAGAGATAAAAATCAACTCCCATCAGCTCTGAGAGGAACTTTCAGTGGCCACACTATGCTAGTGCCACTAGGAAAGTGAGTTCCCAGGGCCCTCTCGGGAGGAGGAGGTAACTTTCCAGGAAAAAATTGACTTGTTGGGAAAGAAAAAAGACACTGCAGATCTCCCTATCCCAGTTATTTTGTGTACTTAACTCTTTCTGAAAATATCATCTGTCTGAATCCATTTCATTTGTCTTTTCATCTCTATCTTCCCCTTTCTCTTTTCAGAAATTAAACAAAACCGTCCATCCAAAACCTACAAATCTTTTGTTAACAGTGATTCAGGTCCAAGTCTAGTAAGGAGGGTACCAGTACAACATCTCTTAAAAGGGAGCTTCAGAGTTTGGGGTCACCCATGGATTAACCCTCCATGCTCCTGTGAGGTATAAATGTGAGGATGGTAAAACAGAGAGAAGGACCTCCCGAGATCTCAGAACATTGACAGGTTCATATGGGGAAATGTAGTCCTTCAAATAACCTGAACCTGAGCTGAGCTTTATAGGTCATCACCAGCACTTTGCATTGTGACCAGAACAGACAGGCAGACAGTAAAGTTGTTGCTGCAAAGTAGTTGAGTATTCCTTGTAATCAGTTCCAGTTGACATGGCTCTTAGAATGGGCTAGTGTTTTTGAGAACTCTGCAAACACAAACTGAAACCCAGTTCAGACAATCTGACAAGGAGCACCTCTGTCTCATTTGGATTGTTTTAATTTCTTCATTCTCATCCATGCCATTACTGATGGCAAGCACCAATTCAGGACTGAAACATCTTCCTTGATTGAGGTGGAAAAGAGTGAGAGCTGGGCATAATGCATAAATACCCTCCCTAGTTTGTATCACCGAAATAACGGCTTAGCTTCTCTTTAGCAATAACAAGAAAGCCTAACCCTTTCTGTTCATTTTGTCGAACTTATATGTCACTGAACAATGCAGAATCAAAAGAGTTTATGAAACTTCGAAATACAGGAAAACAAGACTGAAAAAAAATCACTTTACTACTTTTAATTTTTTATGGAAAATTGGTGTTAAGTCTTACGTGTCTGTTTTCTTCTTTTCATCTTCCAGTGCTCTCAATGTGTGCTGAAGCCTATCTGTTAGTATCTCCAATTCTTGTGTTAGCTTGTATTCCTCTCTAAACTGCTCCCCCAAAAGGACCAAGTCACGGGTGGCATCATGAAGAGGGATGTCACTCAAGTACAGCCCTCTTCTGGTTAAATCATCTAAATTCATCACACTGTAATACAAAGAAACAATTAACGGCATAAGAAAAAATGGTGGGGAAGATTAGATTCAGCAGTGACTAAAGATTTCAAATGACATCATTTTGGGAGTGCCAACATGGTTTGCAGTTTGATAATGGGACTACAAATCTAGAGACCAAGGTTTGAATCAGTCATGAAAACCCACTGTGTGACCCTGGGCAAGTCTCACTCTCTTAGCTTCTAAAGAATACAAAGGTAAACCTCCTTTATGTCTCATATTATTACATCCATTTTCTACTTTACTAGCCCTGAATGAGGATTGATTATATATTTGTATGGAAATGTATTTACGTCACAGTACAGCCCTTATATTTATGAGTGATACATTTATTCTATTCATTCTGCAAACTAAATACATTATTCTGAAGCTGTTGTTAGTTCTTCTAAGAAAAAACACAAGTATTGCTACAAGTGGTGCTTACAACTACTGCAGAACAGGATTTCTATCAGAGGGATGAGGCAGAGGACAGGGTTAAATATCTTCTTCACCAAGCTCACCTGCTCTGATCAACATTAAGAGCACTCAAACCCAGCCATTTCGAAGACATGCACACAGAGTTTTCATCACAGTTGTTTGGACTCTCAAAACACAAATTTTAGTATAATACAATATATTGAAATCTAGTTCAATTACCTGGGGGAACAAAGAAAGAGAATACTATCTGCTTCAGGTAGGTAGATCATTTGACCCTTCAGCCGTAAGCAGCTGATTTCTGTGCCAGTTAATTCATCTTCACATTCCAACTTTTCCACATCCAAGAGTCCTTCCTTGTAAGGAAAAAAAATAACTTCAGCTTAAGTTACCTGTGATAAGTGTAGGTGTCTTCCGACACTCATCATTTTAATGCCACCCACAATTAAATTTGGATGTCTTTCTTTCCCCCACAATAACTCAAACAGAAGCAGGCCAAGAAAGTAGTAAGGAAAAGGTCTTTTTATTGCTTCAGAATAAAAATGTTTTAAAACCAATGCTTTTGGGTTTGGACAGATTAGCCATTTACAAGATACATGGCCCAGGGGATGCCTGACTGTATTTACTCAGTCTTCGAGGAGGCTCTTTCCGTGCCTGCCCTGTTTGGCACAAGTCTGCCCATGAAAAGAAGGTGAGTATAGCATTGATTAAAATATGCAGCATAATCACAGGATGTCTTAAACCTACACCTGTTGATACACTATACAAGCTAGCTGGCATTATCCCCCCCCCCCCCAATGTGTGACAAGAAGTTGCTGCTAACTGTGAGATAAACAAGGTTGAACACTGTGAAGGCCATCTACTGCAAGGCTATTGGCCTCCTCCCAGTAGACTCATATCAAGGAAAAGCTTAATGAGAACCTCCACTCCTCTTAACATTCCCTCAGCAACAGCAAGAGTATCCCTCTGGGCAGCTAAACTAGGAAATCCCAATTGGATGGCCTCCCACGAGAGTCTTCCTCCAGGGACAAACCAAGAATGGGCAACTTGGAAGTCCTTGAACAGACTCAGAAGTGGAGTGGGCAGGTCAAAAGACAACCTGGCAAAATGGCACTACCTAAAAGAATCCTCCACCTTGTGTGACTGTGGAGCAGAACAGACAACTCTGCATCTGTATGCTTGTCCACTATGACCTGCCTCATGTACAGAGGAAGAATTGTTGGGGGCTACAGACAATGCAGTTACTGTTGTCCGTTTCTGGTCAAAAAGAGATTTAGCTGCTTGTGCTCCTTCTATTTTTATCAGTTTTATATTAATTTATGCAATGCTTTTGATACGAAATAAAATAAAAACTTTGGAATAAAGTCAAGGTGTGAGATTCTGTAGCTCGTCCAATTAATTAAATTAGGTTACCTTGCTCCTCAACACAAAAACTGTGTTGATATGTGAAAGGATTCCATGGAAACTAATATCAATATGAGGCCGAACCAGTGAAAATACTGACAAGAGATTGCAGTAGCCTGGCTGGAGCTGAAACAGAAACAAAACATTAATTACACTTTAAAAATCTAGTGCTAGACATTGTGATTAAATTTTGTCTCCATCAGTTGTGTTAATTTAAAAAAGTACAATACTGAAAGTTGGTTCCACTTCTTTGGATCTGGATTTTAGTAAAATGCATCGTATTTTGGTTAGGAATGTTTCCTAACCAAAATGTTTCAGAATATAGTAGGTATTTTGCAATGCTAAAAGTTGCTAAAATAGCTTAAAAGATTAGTGGCTGTTGAAAGAGGTGTTTGTGGTGCAAACAAAGATTAAATTCAATGAGAATAACACTGAGGAGTGGGGTTGCCACAGTTGAATGCATGCAAATTATTAGCTTACACAGGACATGTAGTGCAATTGCAATAAACGAATGAAAACATAGGAATGGAATGAGGGGACAATAAGAAAAAACCAATTCTCACCTGTGGAAGGACTCTGTATATTGCATTGCCACACTGGGTGACAACTAGATCTCTGTCAAATATAATATGAAAAGGGAAAGCCTTGCAAAAAGTATAAGGGCTAATGCGTGACTCTTGGGTACCATTCTCTTCAAATCTGTCCAAATCTTCATAAAAATCCTCTTCTTTAGACTCCTTCTCTTCAATTAAAAATTGAATATGGTCACATTCTTCATTTCTCTGCTGAATAACCTGAACACAATAAAAATGTAGAATTTATAAGCCTTTTAAAGTCATTCTTCTCCAATAAGAAAGAAGAGTTGCTTTTTGGTACTGAACTTGAAAATCCAGACTGACTATCAACCATTCCAATGTATTTTTGAAGGCTTTCATGACTGGAATCACTGAATTGTTTTAGGTTCTTCGGGCTGTGTGGCTGTGTTCTAGAAGCATTCTCTCCTGACATTTTGCCTGCATCTACGGCAGGCATCCTCAGACAACCCAATCATTCCTGAATGAAGATCAAGGCTGATATGGAGTAAACCTCTAAACAGAGACATGTTTACTCAAAAAGAAGGCTTTGGGCCCTTCTACACTGCCAGATAATCCAGGTTATCAAAACAGAAAATCTACATTATCTGATTTGGATTGGATTATTTTAGCCTACACTGTCATATAATCCAATCTAAAGCAGATAATGTGGATTTTCTGTTATGATAACCTGGATTATCTGGCTGTGCAGGAGGAGCCTTTATGACTTAGCATGATGTCATGACCATGGGAGCTTGAAAATCTGACCTTCCTCATCAATTCTCTTCTCAAACAAGATGATAAGTGAAAAAAAGTCAGTGCTAATAAAACTTAGGCCGCTTCTACACAGTTGTGTAAAATTTACATTGAAATGGATTATATGGCAGTGTGGACTCAGATAATCAAGTTCAAAGCAAATACTGTGGATTATCTGCCTTGATATTCTGGGGTCCCCTCCACACAGCTGAATAAAATCCCACATTATCTTCTTTGAGCTGGAATATATGGCAGTGTGGACTCAGATATCCCAGTTTAAATAGATATTGTGGGATTGCTGCCTTGATATTCTGGATTATATGGCTGTGTGGAATGGCCCTGGGTTATAGAGCTATGTGGAAGGGTCCTGAGCTTACTGGATCAAAGGTCCAAGCTTCATAAAATCTCCAACAGTCTAAAAGCAATATCATCAGCATGTAGCCGTGGGGGGGGGGGGGGGTTGAGGGGCTTCAGCCCCCCCCCCCGAAATTCTCATGGTGGTTCGCGAAAAGGCCTTACTGGTGCGTTATTTAAACTGTTATGTTTATTCATATCATGATCTGATCACCATACTCAATATATGCATGGGAGTATTGGGGTAATGATACAAAAGGTTTGCTAGGGTAGACCCTCTTTCACTCAGACTCACCCCCCCCCCGTATCAAACTCACCCCCCCCCCAATCAAAATCTTGTCTACGGGCCTGAATGTCATCATTCTGCTTTTTGTTAGTTCCTTTGAATATTCTAATTCAGAATAAGAAGCAGATAAATCAGTTTAAAGCAGATACTGTAGATTATCTGTCTTGATATTCTGGGTTACATGGCAGTGTGGAGGCATCCTACATTTGTAGGCATTACATAGAGGCTGCTTATATGGATTTGGACCTATGCCTTTAGCCCTAATTACTGCTGGAACATGATCTACAACATCGTTTCCAACTTTTATTTGGCTTTCAAACTGAAAAAAGTTCACTACATGTACAACAAATGGTTGGGAACAATGTATAGGGAAGGGTAGTTATGTATTAGCTTTTTTTGTGTGTCAGAAATGACTTGAGAAACTGCAAGTCACTTCTGGTGTGAGAGACTTGGCCATCTGCAAGAACATTGCCCAGGGGATGCCTAGATGTTTGATGCTTTATTATCCTTGTGGGAAACTTCTCTCATGCCCCCACATGGAGAGCTGGAGCTGACAGAGGGAGCTCATTCACACTCTCCCCAGACTCAATGGGAATACTAGAAGTGTGTTTTGACATAGCTAGCATAATATGCATCTTGCTTTGAATAAATCAGTAAACTGCATCCACACAGGAAAAATAAAACCTTTTGCATAATTTTGCATAGAGAAGCAGAAACATTACATATTTATGCTTTTGGATTTTCTGATGAGTACAGCCTTCCCCTTTCACGTGTACACCTTACTGCTAAGGAAGCTTTTCCAATCTTGAAGTGGTTTGAAAGGAAGATAAAAGCTGCAGGAAGAGGAGGAAATTAGTGACACGCTTTTGTATAAAAACAGACATGTTTTGGCTTGCGCAAGTGACAATCTGGACTCAAGCAAGATTTGCTTTCATTGTTGTGACTATTTGTTGGTGTCAGATAAGACGGCAGGCAGGACTTTCAGAAATTAATTTATGAGGGCTTTTCCAAAATTAGATAAACTGCATGTACCTGTTTCTCACTGTTATGGAAGCAAGGAAAATATTCAAACAGCAGATGTTCTCATGACACCCTATGTGATTCTTGTTGGCTTGGCTACAGGAAGCCATACAAAAGCTCTATAAAGATTTTGACAGAAGCAATTCATCTTCTAATAACATTTATACATCTCCAAACAGCAAGAAAAAACTGCTCGAAGAAAGCTCAACCCCTTTCCACTTCTACTTTAATCATCCATCAAGGTTTAAAATAATTTTAGTGGGATTACTGTGTTAGTTTCCGTCAACTAAACAATCAGGAGTAGTCAACTAAACTAATCAGCAATAGTTTGCACAATAACAAGAATAATATACAGGAGTAATAAGTATAATTTCAGAGGTTTTAAACAACCTCATATATCAGAGCAGGCACCATTTTAGAAGAATCTGTGGGGAATAAAAACTGTTTCTAAAATGGTGCCTGCAAGCCTCAGTTCTTAATTATTTTAGAAAAAGCTCTGCACATTTTTGAAAGTGAGGATTCTGTTATTATTCTATTTTTTAACTTATGGAAATAGATATTAACCAATTAATCTAACAAGTTAGTGGACTAAATATTGCAGACCTCATCAAAACAATGCCCATCTCTAACTCCATTAGTGAAATCCAGCATAGCCAATGGTCAGGGATGGTGGGAGCTGTTGGGAGTAAATCAATCCTATTAATTAGCACTGAAGTACAGTGTTCCCTCACTTATTGTGGGTGTTATGTTCCAAGACCACCCGTGAAAAGTTAAAATCCACCAAGTAGGGATGCTACACACACACACTCTCTCTCTCTCTCTCCCTGCACCGAGTTGGTCTCGTGATGTCACACGGGTCCCCCCTCCTCCCTCCTGACCCACCTGCCATTCATCTCTCTTAGATCTGTCCATCATCCTTCCCTTCCTTCTCCCGCTTTCAACCCAGAAGGGCTCCCATCTGCATGGGAGAGTGAGGAAGAGGAGGAGGAGGAAGCAACTCAAGGTTTGTTTGTCATTTCCTTTGCTGTTTTGCTTTTTCATGGAGTCTTTCCAAGCTGCTTGAGTTGGGATTTGAACCCAGATCCTCAAAGAAACTGATCCATTCCTTGCAATGCAAAGCAGAGCCTTTGCCACCTGGGCTCCACAGTGACCCTGTATGGAAAGTACCTTAAAGGTGATGTAATGACCAAAGGTGGGGAAGAGTTCCTTTGTAGCCTCCCCTGTCCACTGGTCAGAGCTGTTGCCCCAGTATCATTGTGAATCAGAGGCAAGAAGGACCATCCAAGAGAGAAGAAGAGGGGTGAGCATTCCCTTTCCTCCTTCTCTTTGTCTCGGGTGGAGCTTGTGGCCAGAGAGCCAGAAAGGAGGGAACATGCAAGGGAGAAAGGAGCGATGAAGGAAGGAAGACAGACAGACAGACAGACAGACAGACAGACAGACAGACAGACAGACAGAAAAAGACTGCCATCGGATCTCAAGCTCTGGTAGGCGAAGGAGAGGAGGGCAAAAGGGAGGGAAAGGAGGAGAGAGAGAAGGAAGGAGGAGAAAAACCGCAAAACAGCGAGTCTGCGAAAAGCAAAACCGGAAAGTAGCGAGGGAATACTGTATATCTGATCCAGCAGGTTCCACTGGTCAGTAGGCTTGTGCACAGATTCAAAGTCGTTGGTTCCCTTAGGTCAATCCAGCTTGTTCGGCTTGGTCAGATAGGCGTAATGGCAAGTCCCCATCCGTCACATTTTTTCATCCGTAATGGGACCACGTGGCAGCCGATCATGGCTCCTCCTCCCTTATATGGCATCGCAAGGCGTGCAAAGAGGCTGCCCCATGCTGCTCACATGGGGTTTCCCTGTGAGCCATACCTGTTGGGCCAATCGGAATTGAAGAAAGCCATGACGTGTCTTACACAAGCTGTGTCTGCTTCCTTAACCCCATTGCTGATACTCAGGCTCCCTTGGAGGGAAAAAAGGAAAGGCTCCCAGGAATGGAAAGGGGGGCCTTGTAAGTTCCCCTTTACCACCAATGGCCGGATTTTTCAGTTGCAGACTGAAAATGGCTATCCGGCTACCCACACATTTTTGGCAGGCGCGTGAAAATGGATACAGGGGTCTACCAGAATCTGGCCAGCAGAAATGGATAGAGGTTGAGCTGAAATGCACAAGCCTACTGGTCAGCCTGCAAGTCTCTTCTCCCATTTTCTCTGACTGCTGAGTGAAAGAGAAATCATGCGGCTATAAAATGGAGTTGATCTTGAATTGGCAGCCTGATAAAGCTGGCACTAGGATTCTATCTTAAGCAGATATTAAATTTATCTTTTGGATACTCCTAACTTCGTTACTGGCCCAGTTCTTAACCTGAAAGAAGGCTGATGCTACTAATAATCCTGACCTCTAGCTATGCCCTCTGTTATTGGAAACAACAATTCCATAGGAAAGAATTCACTGAAAGATCCAAATATCTCTTGGAAAATAAAGTTGTTTGGCTATACAGGGACAACTATTTATATGCCAGAATTCTAAGGATTCTGCATCCTGACAAACATCCTGTAACCTTTACGCTTGCTCCCTTCTAGTTTTGGGATTCAATGTTTCCTCCAGTAATTACTGTATTCTCCACCTAAATTGTCACTGCTTTTCTTCCGGCCTGGGACAATGATATGCACTTGTTATGATGAAAGGGTACTCTCAAGGAATACATCTGGCCAGAAAGTATTGTCCATGTAGTTCAGGTGTTGTTGAGGCTATTCCACACGTCTCCATAGTGTCATTTTACAAAGGTCAAAAGAAACAAATTGCTACACACACGTACA